TGGCAAGAAAGAGGAAGAAGGGATATTTATCGTGCTTATTACAAATGGAATAGGGAGTGATTATTCCAAGTTCCTAATTCAGAGCTTCTGTGGTTGTGCTCCGGGCTTCGAGATCTCAAAGCAATGAAGCTACTATGACATCCTATCCCTTCTCCACATTGCCCTTCCCAATCTATATTCCAAGATGTCCACCTCCAACTACTGCCCTTTGTTTCTTTCTTAGAAGAGCTGTCATGATTTTGGATATTAATAGAAGCTGTGTGCCAGCATTCACCTACACCTTTATCACTGGGCATCAGTGCTCTACTCTCTTACATATTCAGTCTCCAGGTCTGCCCTAGAAGTCTAACGACCCACAAAAGCAATGAAATACTTGACATATGCAATGGAAAGTTGTGTAAAATAACTTGGTTGCAACATTGATTTTCAGCCTTCAGATTCCATAAGCAAATCTTTCAAGGCTTCTAACAATGAAAGAAATCCTAAAATAATAGATGATAATTTACTTTCAAGGAAGGAAAAATTAACATTTCAAAATTAAAAGATTCCAGTATTTAGTATATGAGCTAATGTCCCCTGATCAAACTGTACCATCCATAAGGATCAGAAAAAGTGCCTTCAATAAGCCAAGAGGATTGGATGCTTTGAATTATAAGTGAGTTCATAGCAGAGAGTAACATAATTTCAAAAAATTGCAACTTAAGTATCCCTACTTTTTAAATCATTCTCCCAATTTTTCATTCTTTAATTATAAGTTAAAGGGAAGAGACACACAAAAAAACAATGTACAAGACAGTCAAATACCTGCTGTGATGGAGCTTGCTTTGGTAAAACAAGCATCCAGGAAGAAGACAAATGAATAAGCAAGATGCACTCAGAAATGCTTTGAAGGAGCTAAAACATGGAAATGGGACAGAGAAAGCAGGGTATTTGAGGAAGGGCTGAAAAGGTGACATATAAACAAGAGATCTGAATGGACCAGTGGCAGGTATTCTTTGCAGAAAAAGCATTGAGAGTTCCCAGGTCAGTAAGAGATAGCATTAGGATAAATGTCTTAGATTTCTTGTTGCTTGGACAAAATAGCTGACAGCCACAAGTTAATGGAGGAAAGGTTGTTTTTAATTCACAGTTTGTAGAGGTTTCAGTCCATAGTCAGCTGGTTCAAAGGCAGAGCACCACGGTAGAGAAGCGTGGCAAAAGAGAAATCATTCATGGTGTGTCAGGCAGGAGGCAGCAAGCAGTGGACCATCCTTTCCCTTTTTATTCCATTCAGGGTACAAGCCTATTGACTGATGCTGAGCAAACCGAGGGAGGGCCTTCCCATCATCCACACCCAGAACTATGCTACCCCAATCAACAGATTAATCTAGTTATCACACACTTATGATCCAGTCACCTCTCCAAATCTCCACCTGTGAATTTAGGGGTAAGCCGTAACAGTAAGAGATGATATTAGGGAAAAAAGATAAGGGCACCTCATTCCAGAAACCTAGATTCTCAACAATGTTATGACCACATAATGAGAATTTAACTCTAAAATCCATCATCCTATACTTCTCATAGAAAGGCAGTGAGCCAATGAACATTTGGATCATCTATGTGCAAAATATACAAATGCAAATTTTTAAAAGGATGCCATGGAACCCATTATGGTATATAGCTGGATGTCTGCCAAGAGCCTAAATGGTTCATTGGTAGGACTTTCGTAAGACAACTGAACCATGGGGACACTGTAACTAACTTGCTGTTAGGAGATAGGACCTAGTTCAGGGAGGCAGGCTGCTGGCATGTGACCTGGAAATGTGTACAATATCTCCTTCCCATCTCCCTCCTTTCTCTTGCTTCCTGGTCGCATGACCTGAGCAATTTCCCCCCTGCTATGCCCTTCTACCATGCCACTGACCATGCCAGCACTGAAACTCCTGAAATGTGAGTCAATATAAACCTTTCTTCATTTAAGTTATTAGTATTGGGTATTGTGTCTTAGTAATGAGAAAATTAAGACAGAACCTTACTCAAAAATTTAAAGACTGTTTTGCCCATTGTGATTTTAAGTTAATTATGAACAACATCCACACCTGTATCACCAGTCCCATGTGGGGAACTGTCTCTCTTCATGTGAGGACCCAGCAAGGAGATGGCCCCTGGCAAGCCAGGAAAAGAGTCATCGGCACGATGTCAACCTACAAAACTGTAAGTCTCACTGTTTGAAAGTCCACTTTATATGCTTTAATTTTGTAACTTGAACAACTTTTTCTTTTTTTTTTTTTTTTGTCTTTTTCCTTTTTATTGGTACCGGGGATCGAACTCACAACTGCCTGCTTGCAAGGCAGGCGCTTACGCCGCTGAGCTATTTTTATAACAATATGTAATCTATTAACTAGTGATTGCCTACTGTTTATTTTTTCTAAAATTCTGTATAACTTGTACCCTTTTTCTGTTTTTTTTTCTTTTTCTCCTTAAATAAAATTTTTAAAAAAGATTTTTTTTGTTTAAAAAAAAAAACTGTAAGCTAGGAGTTTGTAAGCTACCAGGCCATAGAATACATTTGGAGCTGAATTTGAAAGTAAAATAAGTGTCTAATAAGATCGAAAGGAGAAGGTACCATGAATACTCAAGAAGAAAAGGAAAGTAAGAGAAGACTTGGAGGAATCAAGGAGGGGGGAAGAGGAGAGATTGGGATTCTGTATGGCAGAAAATATAAAAATATTTCAACCCAAACGTAGTGGCACATGCCTGGAATTCTAGCACTCTGGGAAGCTGAGGCAGGAGGACTATAAGTTTGATCTCAGTCTAGGCCATTTAGTAACTTAGATCTTGTTTCAAAATGAAAAATCAAAAATGGTGAAGACGTAGCTCAGTGCAAAGGCCCTGGGTTCAATGGGGAGGGGTGTGGAGAACAATATAAGATTACTTTCACTAATAAACTCCAAAATAATAGAGAACAGTAACAATGATTTCCCTTTCAACATTAAATTTATACATGATGCAATACTATAAGAGATTTTGTGTTAAAATCTTTCATTCAGCTAGTACTGTGAAAACCTTAACAAAGTTCTTTCTTAGTTCTTTTTTTTTTACTTGAAAATTCCTTTATTTTGCCTCCTAGATGTGGGGTGGGGGCCCACTCAGACTCTTGACTTATTTATAGGCCAGATATAATGCCTGCATTTATCTGGACAGATTTGTGCAGCACTGTGAAGAAAAACATCCATTAGTTTTTCAGCATTAGCACACCATCATGTATATGAATGAGCTCAGTGATCATAAATATCCAACACCGAGTGGTACTCAAGTGATGTTTCCTAGTTGTAGTAATTACCCTTCATTGTGCATGAGGAGGGCCAGGAGAAGGAAACACATGCCTGTAATGGGAACTAGTTCTCAGTGTGCACAACAGCCCTACGAAGCATGATCTCTAGGTTACAGAGTACAGGAAGTTGGGTATCTAGCAAGCACAAAGTTCATGCTCTTTTCAAATTAATCTTTAAAGCCTCTGGACTCAGGGAAGCTGATTAAAAGCACGAATTTATTCAGTATGCACTTTTAAAACTCTTGAAAGGTCCTTTTATCCACACTGGTTTTTAAAAGGAAAAGAATAAAACTTGCCAGAGAAGTTTGTCCTCTAACACCAGTCAAAACAGTTTCTCTGAAAAAAGAGATACAAAAATTTAGAAACCGATTCTCTTTTAAAATCTGCCAACTGTGTGTATGTGTACTTTTATCTTATGTTACTTTTTTTTATTAGCCTAAAGTACAAATGTATGGCATCACAGAGGGTAAGTTAACCTGTGGTTGGGATGACTGACCCAGGAGATGAGGGTGTGTGTGAGGACTCAGAAACAGAATCTCTAGTCCAGCCTGCCTTGGACAAAATTAACACGCAGTCTAAGTGGTGTGAAAATCCACACATCTTGCTTCTTCTTGTCCAGTGGCAGAGGATGGCATAACTGGTTATAAATGTCAGCCCACAAAACCTTCCAAGGAAGGAGCTCTCAGTTTGTAAGCAAGCTCCGAGCTGCTTACAGGGCTGTGGCTCCCAACACTGAGGACCTTTAACATACTCTTTCCTGCCAGCAGGCTTCAAATAGGAACTTCTTATAAAAACGCAATGAAACCTTTGGGAGGGGGTCTTGCATAATCCTTTTAGTTAAGCCCACACAAACATTCATTCAGTTCTTGTTTATTTTGCTCTTTAATTCCTGGAGTTGTGCAAAGAATAGTGTTCTTGGATGGAAGCCCTCCCCAGAGTTTTCCCATCAACATACTTTTGATACGCCTGTGCGGAAAAGCTGTCTGAAGAAAAAAAACACATGTTCAGTGGAACTGTCTATTTTCCTCAGGAATCTTTCTGAAATAACCTTATGTAATTTTTTTAGATGTCTCTTGCACAAGAGCAGACCAAAGATTTTTTAAATCACACGATTAACCAGAATCCAAGCCTCGTCTCTTCACATCCCTTTTCGATCCAGGGGTTATTTGGCTGAACTTCCTGTTGCAACAGCTTGAACGCCAACCAACTGGACAAACAGCAGTGCTTGCAAAAGAGGGTCCTGCTTCCTCCCTCTACCCTCACCCTCTCTCTGCACCCCTCCCTGGCTGCACACCATGGGAGAAATTTCAGTGCCTACGACCCCCTTCTCTTCTCAACCTCCAGTGCCTCTCCAACTACACCCGTCGTGGGACCCTAAGTCCGTCTGCTCTCTGGCTAATCAGCTCCTGAGGATGGGGAGATCCGGACGGAGTCCCCTACCACCACCCAAGGGCGCCCTCTCTGATCACACTGCGCAGAGGCAGAGGCAGAGGCAGATGCAGGTCGCTCCGACTCTGGGGAGCAGCGTCTGGGCGAGCAGGGAAGGGCAGCGTGCCCGGCGGAGGTGCAGACCCTCTGGCCGCCGGGCCTGGAGAGACCCCTGCGGGGAGTCTGCGCCGGACAGGGCTGGGAGGAGCAGCTCAGGGTCCCGCGCCCAGGCCGAGCGCCGGCGCAGGAAGGGGCTTACCGGAGGCGGTGGCAGCGGCGAGGCCCAGCAGCTGCAGCAGGAGCGTGGGCAGCACTGCCCGGGGCATGACGGCGGCGCGCGCCAGGAGCCAGAGCTGCGGGCAGCGGGCAGCGGGCGACTGCGGTCGGGAGCTGGGGCGGCGCTTCTCTGGGCGCGCCGCTGGGTCGCGGCCCTCCCGCCCCAGGCCGCGGGGCGGAGCGGGGAGGAAGCGCAGAGGATCCCGACCCGGCGCGGGAGGCGGGCGCTGCCTCCGGAACTTTTAAAAAAACTTTTCATTTGAATTAAAACCATCTGACTTCAAGAGTGTTGCAGAAATAGTATAAAGAATTTCTGTAACCCTTCATCTAGCTTCTCTAAATATTAACGTCTTACATAAATTCAGTATAAATATCAAAACCAGTAAATTACACCTAATCAGTTGTCTCTCTCTCCAGGCTTCTTTTTGTTCTGAGATCCAATGTAGTATCATAATTGCGCTGAGATGCCCTGACTTCTTAGCTTCTTTTAATGTAGGGTAATCCTTTGTCATTCTTTAGCTTTCAGGGTGGAATGTCCTTGGAAGAGTACTCACCCATTGTTTTGCAGAATATCCCTCAGTTTTGGTTTGTCTGATGTTTCCTCTTTCTTTTTTTTTTGGTCTTTTTCGTTTTTATCGGTACCAGGGATCATAGTTACCACTGCCTGCTTGCGAGGCGGGCACTTATGCCGCTGAGCTAAATCCCCAGCCCTGATGTCTCCTCTTGATTGGATTCAGGTCTTGTGTTTGGCAGGAGCCCCACAGTCTTGATGCCACACACGGGGGACACCGTGGCAATATTTTATCACTGAGATGTTAATTTAGATCACTTGATTAAGGTGGTATCTGCCAGTTTTCTCCTTTAGAATTGGCCTTGAACGTCCTTTTCATAGACCTCCCATGGCCTAAACGTCTTAGAAAAATTTTCTCTATTATCAGAAAACTTTTCTCTGTCATCAGGTCCTGGATCAAGATCTACAGCGTGGCTAATGAAGACCTCTGGAGCAGGTCAGCACAACAGGCCAAGCAGGGCTCTGTGGTTAAGCCTCAACTCACTGCCCAAAAAGCCCTAAAAAATGAAACCCAAACTGAGCATGGTAGTGCATGCTTGTAATCCCAGAACTCTGGGAAGCTGAGGCAGGGAGATGGCAGGTTTGAATTCAACCTGGGCAATTTACACCCTGTCTCAAAAGATAAAAATAAGTAGATAAATAAATAAAAAGAATGGAGCTAAGTACATTTAATTCCCAGTACTGAAAAACAAAAACTAAACTTACTATGAAAACAAATGACCTAATTAAAAACTAGGAAATCTGAGCAGACATCTACCTCTCATCAAAGAACATACGTAGATCCCCAACATTTTTGGCACCAGGAACTAGTTTTATGGAAGATAATTTTTCACAGCCTGGGATAAGAGTGAGAGGTGATGGTTTCAGGCATGATTAAAGCACGTTACATTTATTATGTATTTTATTTCTATTCTTTTTACATTGTAACGTAGAATGAAATAAACAACTCACTATGATGTAGAATTAGTGTGAATCCTGAGGTTGTTTTCCTGCAATTAGTCCCATCTGAGGGTGGTGAGAGACAGGGACCCCGGAGTGTGTTGCCTATGTCTAGTCAACTTTGTAAACTCAGTTTGACTTGCCACTTGTTGTAGCTTGTCACTGACCACGCACTGATAGGTTTTTGGTATGATCTGCAGACAACTGACTTGCTATGGCCACTGTGCAGTCGAACTTTGCTGCCAGTGTTTATCAGTATTCGCAGCTACCCCCTAGGGCTGCTAGTGCTGCCTCGGTTTACATCATGCAGCATTAAATTCTCCTAAGGAATGAACAACCTAGATCCCTCACATGTGTAGTCACAGCAGAGTTCATGCTCCTGTGAGACCCCAAAGCTGCCTCTGATCTGACAGGGGGTGGAGCTTAGCCAGAGCGCTGGGGAGGGAGTTGTAAATATGAAACTGCTTGCTTAGGGACCACTTACCTCTTGCTTCCTGGCCTGGTTCCCAGCAGGCTATGTAAGTAGTCTGTGTCTTGGGGTTGGGGTCTCTGGTATAGATGGCAAATACATGCATAAAAAGATGCTCAGAATCATTATATCATTAAAGAATTAGCATTGCTGAACAATTCTTTGGCCTGACTGCTAGGCCTAGATAATTTAAGAGCAGAGTGAGTTGTTTTCTGTGTATTTCAGCTTTTCTAGACCAAGAAGGGGGGAAAAAGAATGGGTGGCAAAGGTTGATGAGGAGACTGAGACAAGATGCAGGTGCAAATCATGAAGGGAAGGAAAAAGAATAAAGATCTGAAATAATATAGCCGGCCTTTGGAAACAGGCTGTTCTGTAAGGAGTGTGAGGTAAAGTGGAAGAAGTGTTGGCTTGGGAGAGGGAGAGACAGGGTCTGAGGGTGACGTCTGGGTTTCTAGCCTGATGTAGAGATTGTACTTTCTTCATGTTAATTGAAAGAGAATGTAAGAAAAAGAACTGGTTGTGGGAATAGAAGTTTCTCAAGCACTGATTATGATTTAGTTTAGGGAAAAAAGAGAAATATGTGTATAATAAATTTGTTGAAATGTAGATATAGTGAGAATGTTTTAATTTAGAATATCCAGGGATTTAGAGACAATTGCACAGATCATGAAGTCTAGTTTTTTTTTTTTTAACTATTTATTTTGAGAGCTGGTCAAAATTTGTCTTTAGCAATATAAATTAGTTGAACTAATTAAAATATATAGGTCTTTGTATCTCCGAAATGGCTTTAGGATTAAATAAGCCTAAAATCTTAATGAAGGAACTAAGCCTTTGACTTTGTCTAGAAAAATCTCAGCCTTGGATTCAAGATTGGGGGTTAGTAGGACTACGCAGACATTTGCAGGGAAAAGTGCCAGATAATGAAAACACCTTGCCGTAGGATCAGGGAAGGAAACGTGCTGGGGACTGGTGAGTGGGGGGGAGAAGGTGGTGAATTTTGGTATCACTTCTGTATTTGTCCCCAGATCTCACTATTAAATTGACTTCCTTACTTTTTTAGGTACATGGTTTCAAGAGATAAAATTTGTCAGGCTTTGTGTAAGTTAAGGGAAGACTAGAATTAGTTATCTTTAGTTCTTCTGCAATATCTGGAACAGGAAATGAGGAAGACAGACCATTAGGGAAGCTCTGGACATGCTGAGAAAGGCTTTCGTACAGATTGTGCTCAGGGTGGGGTAGGTGGAAATATGAATGTGAGACTATATGTTTGAACTATGAATTCAGAAATGCCTCAGAGAAGAGGCGGTGGACAGGATTTTCAAGGGAGAGGGGATAGATTGCTGATTCTGATAGAGACCCACTGAGCAAGAAGAGTCTAAAAAGGAAAATAAAACCAAACATCCAGAGATGTAGGAATGATTTTGTTTATTCTTAAAAAGTGCCCATAAAATTTTTAATAGCAAGACACTTTATACTCATCATACCAGAATAAATATACCAGAATAAAGCACAATCTAAAAGTATTTTTATTCAAGAAGGTTCAATTTTGGTACATTTACTTAAAGATAAAAGAAAACAACTCTATCATCACTGTTACAGCTGTTCTTGACATGAAAAGTCTTATTGACTAAAATTGTACAAATTACAGGTCAAAAGAAGTAAAATATGAAAGCTTCTTCAATAAAATACTTTACAGCACTTTAGACTACATTAAAATTGTCCTAGAAAAGTATTTATAGCATTATGATAGTATCTATGCTTTAAATTTAAATTTATGCTTTTATACAAAAATACTCTAAATTACAAATATAAATTAAAAACTCAATAAAACATTCACTATATCTAGTGAAACTAGAATTAAGGCTATATATTCTATGTGGTAAAATTGAAAGTATTACTACAAAATCTTAAATAGTTTAGTGATGATCACTAAACTCACAGTTTCACTGTAATATTCTCTCATTTTTACAAACGCGATTTATATAATTTTTTTCACAGCCACCTTCTCTGGTTAATTCTTCTAAAAAGGCAATAAATTAATTTTTAAAATTTTAGTCAAAGGTTAACATGTTAGCTGTACATAGTGTGGCACTCCTGTAACCCTAGGTACTCAGGAATCTAAGACATGAGTATCACATGTTTGAGGTCAAACTGGGCAACTTAGCAAACTCTGTCTCAAATTAAAAAGATAAAATGGGCTTAGGGTGTAGCTCAGTAGTACAGTACATGCTTAGCATGTGTGATACCATGGGCTTAATCCCCAATATAAAAAAGTGAGTATTAAAAGATATAAAATATGAATATGAAAGATATAAAAATTGTAAAATTTTCAAATAGTCACTTCCCTAGTTGAGTCCCTTTAAACAGTCATGTTTTTAATCAGGAAGCAAAAATACATTGCTACAGGGTTTCAATCAATCTAACAATAATGTTCTCACATTTCAGAAACTTTCAGTACTAAATCTTCTTTAAAGATGTTTATGAATAAAAACATATACATTTAAATAACATTGGTATAAAATATCTTTGGAGTAGTATAAGAAGCATCTTGCCAAGAGGCATCATTTTGCTGTGTAAAAGGTATACAATTCACATTGTTTAATAGTAATTCCCTAATGTTACAAATGGCTATTTTGAAGTAATGTTGCTACTATTGATAGAGGAGTTTTTATTTGTAGGTACTAATTTTGCATTTGCCAGATGCTCTTGAAAATTAAAAGGTAGTTGGGGATTTAGCTCAGCAGCATAAGCACTTGCCTTGCAAGCGTGCAGCTGTGAGTTGGATCCCTGGTACCAAACAACAACAACAACAAAATTGAAAGATAGATATGTGATCCAGTAATATGGCAGTTTAAATTTTCTAAGTTATGTGAAAAATGCCATTAAAATATATGCATATCCTAGTTACCACCACATTCTTACAGAAATAGTCACATTAATTGGATCTATTATCCTATAAATGATGTAGACTTTAGTTCTGGCTTCTAGCCCACCCAATTCTAGTAAGTAGTTTTAGACATGGCATTTGGTAGATGATTGTGTAGACCAACATAGTAAGTAGCCAACTGAAGAAGTCCTTAAGACTTCTACTTTGGAACATAGTAAACACTGACCCTGGGAAAATTTTAAGTGGCTCATTTTCCCTAACACATTAGTGCAAATAAGCAATCTTTTAGGAGGATTTAGTCATGGAAAAAAGGAAACACAATCTCATCTTCATTCATTCCTTGTTCATACCGAACTGATGAGGAGCCTGCCCACCGAAAACGGTTTCTTTGGAAGAGAAACCAAATCAGTCCACTGATGAGAGCCAGGCAGCTGAGCACGGCAAATGTGATGCTTATTGCTTTGTAATCAGGACCTGGAGGAGAGAGGGGGTGACAATAGAGGAGAGAACAAGTCAGAAATTGTTATTGTTGATTTTAGTCTTTAAACTGTGTAACACATACTAACCATGTACAAATTAGGGACAATAACTACTTGATTGTACATAGCTTTCACAAAAAATTCAAACTTGTCATCACTTAAGTGCCTTCTTTTCAATTAAGTTGTTTTCTTTTTATTCACATCCTCTTTGTTGCTATAGAAATTTTCTTTCAAAAACGAAAGCACTGTTGTGTTTTCACTTCCCCTTACCATCACTCTTTGGGGAATATCACTCCTTAAATATTGTCCTATTAGCAAATAGCTAAAAGCAAATAGCTAAACCTTTAGCAAAAAGCTAAAAGTTGTGAGGTTTTGTTTGACTCAATATATGTCTGCTTCAAAATGGTGCATGTCTCTAGGGTGACTTCATTTAGTTCCTAGCTATTTGACTTCTAATCTGTCCAAGGCCTCTTATCCCCCCCATCCCGCCCATCGCTGGGGATGGAGCCCAGGCTCTTGCACATGCTAGTTAAGCAGCTCCACCACTCAGCTATCTTCCCAGACCTTATCCTATGACTTTAAATACAATCTCTATGTGGACCTATATTCTCTTTCATATATTCAGCCGCATACTTGACATCTCAATGTGGATATCTCTTCTCCACATGAGGAACTCAAAAATGGCCTAAATAGAACTCTTTATTTATACCATCTATACCTCTCCTACCCTCTAAAAGCTTCTAGTTGCTTTTCATTCTACTTAAAAGACAGCCAGAATTTGACCTTTCTATTTCCAAACCCTAAAGTTTCTGGCACCACCCTTTCTTCAGGTTCTTCCCTATCTCTGTGCTTTGCCTGGTGCTTTCCCCGAGCTGCGCTGAGCTGACCTTTCTGATCTCAGCTTCAGGGCCTCCTGTTCTGAGACACCTTCCCTGATAACCTTACCTGGAAGGTTATCCACCCACCTATTCTGCATCACACAGGGTTTGGAACTATTTCATATTCTCTTATCTTTTAGAAACTGAGTTGCTTGTTTATTTCTTTGTCCTCCTCCACTACACTGTAAGCTCTGTGAGACTGGGAAGCTGATCAGCCTTGTTCTCAGATGCACAGTGTGGAGAAGAGGGCATAACAGATGGAAGACACTGAATGTTTGCTGAATCAGTGCACGTATAAATAAATAGCAGCTGTCTCCATTCAGAGTTTTATCATTAGTATATACACACCAAGATGGAAAATTTTATGCTAGAACTTTAAAAATGTTAATGTGTTAAGATAGTTATTCAACTAGCTTTTCTTAGTTCATTGAAAAGCAAGGTTTATGCTAATATTATTTGGTCAATTTTTAAATTTTAAAACAAAAAAATAAAAACAATGATAAGAGAATTTCAAAAGAAAATAGTATGAGATAACACTGGTTAATATATTGTGTATTATTATCTCCAAAGTAGTTGTTCAGATTACAAGATATAGGCATGAAAAAATATGTTTGATCAGTTTTTCAAGCTAATGTTTTGTACTCTGAAAAACTACTAAGACAGCAAAATGCAGTGCATTAATTATCTTAACTCTGTTACTGATTTGTTTTGAAACACTGTTTTATTGCTATTTTTTTGCTTTTCTTCTCCTTAAAAATATTTAGAGCTTGTTTTCTACAAATAAAGTAAAATAATATTTTAATGTGATTTTATATATCAATTAATGAAGTTCAAATTATTATCACCTGAAGATATCCCAAACATTTTAAGTAGTTAAATCTAGTTTTAGGGCATCCTAAAATTAATCATGAGTTTTATGGGAAGGGGGAGAAAGGAAGCAAAGTAACCATAAAATAGACCTTCAAGCTCTTATATTGTCAAACTATGGGGAAAAAATGTATCTTAATGTTTAAAAAATCATCTCTGTAATACTTTGGCAGCTTCTATTTTTCTTAGAAAAGAATTACATATTAAGTTTAGACTGTTTAATAGCTTCATTTGGGAGCCTCAAATATGTAATGTACTTATAGTCTCTTGTAATCTTTTTCAGAGAGAAAAATCTATGATTTGATACTTTATTGATATTTCAGGACCAAAGACAAAAATTTAGCACATAGTTGGTTGCAATTATGTTTCTCTTTTCACTTTTTTCAGACAGGGTCTCACCGTGCACTTCAGGCTGGCCTTGAACTTACTATGTAGGCCAGGCTAGCCTAGAAGTTGTGGCAATGCTGTTGTCTCAGCCCCTTGAGTGTTAGGATTACAGGTATATGCCACCATGCCTGGCTATATGTTTATTTCTTGATCTGTTCCTTAAGGGCAAATGACATACTTACCCAGGGGAACTTTGCAGACAACTCTTCCATAGCCGTGTGAGCATTCAACTTTTTTCCAAGTTTCATTTGAAGCTAATAAGATGGTACATTTTCCATCACCACTCTTACTTTTATTTTCCCACTTAACAAATGTCACTCCTGATCCATCAAACCAATTCCAAGACTGATCTGAAGAAAGACATTAAGTACAACTATATTCACTGCTACTAAATGACTGAGTTAAAAATACGCTGTTCAAATAAAGCATTCACTTAGAATGGTGCTGTCCTTATACAAGAGGCACTATTTACAAGTGAAATCCACTAAAAATGAACAAAAACTATAAATAACTCCTTTAGTTGCAGTTGTCACTTTTCAAGTACTCCTCAGTCATATATGACTAGTGACTATCTTAGTGTAAAAATAGAACATATTTATCTTTGTGAAAGGTGCTGTTGGATACTGACAGAGCACACGGCATTTTGATTAATGTGTAGAATGCTCACACACTTACTGTGTGAGAGAGATGTCTGGGGATCAGTATGTCCCCTTCTTTAAGAAAGCACCTGTTATTAAGGTCACACTGCATAATAATGAAAGGGAAAGAAAGTGTTCAAAAGGGAAGAACAACTTGTAGGTATTCACATATATAACCGTATGTATGTTTAAGTGTGCAAGACAGATAACTGTACTACTCTCTGTTAGTTCTCAAAAAGGATAGTTTGTGCTGTCATTGTTCATTTTTTATGCTTTGATTTTGTAACTTGAGCGACTACTTCTAACAATGTGTAATATATTAACAAGTGTTGATTACTTACTGTTATTTTTTTGAAATTCTACATTATTTCTACCTTTTTTTCTGTTTTGCTTTTTAAACAAAGTCTCTGCAGGAAGAGGAAGAAGCATCCTCCCCACTACAGCCCCAGCACCGTCGCCATGGTTTTTTCTCAGTTGAGGGGGCACCACCTTGTGGTGAAAGAGTAAACACAAGTTTCCATTCATCTAGATGGCCATTCCAATCTGTTTATGTTTCGAAAAGTATTATCTTAGAATTCATACTTGCTTAAATTAGTTAAAACTCAACTTTGCATAAAGTTACATAAACAAACCTCCTACCCTTCTACCAAATTTGTATGTTTTTTAAAAAATCATTTATCCGTAAAATTGCTTACGACAATTTGATTGATGGTAAAAATATTCTAAGATGGAAAGGAATAATAAGATAATTTTCTTTCTTTTCTTTTTTTTTTTTTTTTTGTCTTTTTCCTTTTTTTATCGGTACCGGTGATTGAACTCACGACTGCCTGCTTGCAAGGCAGGCACTTATGCCGCTGAGCTAAATCCCCAGGCCTGATAATTTTCTAAATAACAGAGTTAGAAGGGGCAAAATCATGCAGTGATAGACACCAGAACCCTAAAGAAAGTAACTCATGGGTTCCTGGTGGGAACATGGGACACAGACATTGTTGTAGGAAAAAAAATTCTGATGTTGATCCAAGGATTTTAGGGATAAGCCTCAAGAACAATTCTAATTGACTTAACCTGAAGTGTATTTCATTAGTGGTTTCCATCATTACTAAATAATTTACTTACATATTCACTCAAAATTTATAAGCCTCCTAAACAGCCAGAGAACCTAGTTTATTCATCAGTGAGAAGCATTTGAATTACGCACCACTTGACATTCTTCAGCAAGGCTGACTTTGTACTTAGGACAAGTTAAAACTTTCTTTGTACACTGCACACATAAATATGTCACTTACCAACAGAATGTTGAAATAATCCAAGCCAAACTCTCATGGTAATGTTATTATTTTCCCTCATCAATCTGCTCACAAATTTATTCTCATTTTCATCCTTTATACTGACAATAGTTGCAGAATGATCTGTTGAAGGAAAACAAGTTACATCTAATTAGCTCTATGTGAACTGGAAAACAGTTTATTCTGAACTAATCATTTGAAAAAATCTTTCATGAACAAGATCATTAAAATATTCAAGCTTTACACAGGGCTTGTTTTTAAAAAAGTGTTTAGATCAAAATTTAAAAGTAGCTGGGGATTTAGTTCAGCGGCATAAGCACTTGCCTTGCAAGCAGGCAGTCGTGAGTTCGATCCCCGGTACCGATAAAAACGAAAAAAGGCAAAAAAAAAAAAAAAATTTAAAAGTATTAGAATTCCAAAAAAGTTAGAAATATATTCATATGAAAATTTGTATATAGAAATTTTGTATTTCTTCAAAATATTTGACTGGCACTATTTTTTGATCTTATAACTGCCTAATAAGATCTTTGCATTTGAACAGCTAGATAACAGCTGCAGTTTGTGATGGAGAAATATGTGTCACCCTATAGATTTTTAGTGCTTTCTCCTCAATGAACATTTTTAATAACTCAGCTTTAAATTTGCTTCTGCTAAAGTAGAATAAAAAATGAATAGGTTTCAGATACTGGGGAGCATTGGCCTTCCTTTAATACTGCCTTATATACAAATGTACTTGGTCACACTCATTATGAGTTCCTAAAAATAGTCTAGGATTGAATTAGTGAATGTTCCTGAAGTTTGATAAGTTCCCTACACCCACAGAGAAAACAGTACCATCACCAGCATCCAGTAAGAGGTAGAAATAAGTAAAAACTAGACTTGGAAGTCAGCCCCAAATGGAATCAACTATAGTATCTGCACAACAAGCCTATCCATATTTAACCTAACGCATTTTTTTTTGTGGTGAGGGGTATCTTAAGAGAAGGAAAGGAGAACCAGGCATGGAGGCGCATGCCCGTAAATCCAGCACACAAACGGTTGAGGCAGGAGGATCGCTATGAGTTCAAGGTCAGCAGGGGCTATGTAGTGAGTTTAAGGTCCACTGGAACTGTATAGGCTAGACCCTGTCTAGCAGAAAGAAAGAAAGAAAAGAAGAAAGAAAGAAAGAAAGAAAGAAAGAAAGAAAGAAAGAAAGCAAGCAAGCAAGCAAGCCTTCACTCCTTCCTAGGCCACCACAAAGTGCAGATACTCTATATGCTACCATGTTTCATATTACACAGTGTGCTAGAGGCTACCTGGAACATGGGAGGAAACTGAAATTCAAGCAGTGTGATTGTTCACATTTACACAGCCCATTTCAGAATTAGGCACTCTTAAGCTTCCCTTTTTTAAAGTTCTTTTCTTTTTGCAGTATTGGTGTTAAACCTAAGGCTTGTACATGCTAAGCAAGCTCTCTATCACTGAGCTGCATCCCCAGACCTTTTCTGAAACTTTAAATTCTAAGACAGGCTCTCACTAAATTGCCCGTGCAGGCCTGGAACTTGTGATCTCTTGCCTCAGCCTCCCAAGTAACAGAGATTATAGGCATGTGACATTGTATTGGGCCAGTCTCAATATTTTTAAAAAGAATACTAGTTTGGAGAATTCACTTTTTATTGTGCACTGTGCTTTATCTCTGTATATTATCTCATTTCATTCCTACAATTACCCAAACTGTACCAACCTTTGAAGTACTATTTTCATTCTGTTTAGGTAAGAAGGCGGAAACAATATGTAAATTCTACAGGGTCACTTAGCTGGTTCTTGTGAGAGCTGCAACTTGAACCTTTACCAATGGTACCAAAATGTAAATGCTTATCCCACACACTAGTTTTACAGTTTTTTTTTTTTTTCTTCCTTAGGAGAAGAGGAGGAAGAGGTTTCCGACTTTCAGATTACATACACAGATTACAAGATTTCTGACATACACAGATTATAAGAAGTTCCATCATGTACAAAAATGTATAACACACAATGGTTCCCACATTAAAATACTCATAATGTAGTTAAACAATAGCTAAAACATTATTTAATTGGTGAAGTGTCTTCACAAGAGTTAGAAAAATAAATGAGCTAACTGCCCTCTGCTTGGCTAAACTGCTGCCCAAATCCACAGGTGAGTAGCTTGGGTCTTGGGATACTCCAGGCAGTTATTCCCAGCGGTCGTTGTACATTTCGACTGTAGACTAAATTTATCGTGGGTGAGTCAGTCATTGCTGCTCTTTCTCAAATGGCTAAATGTGAAGACAAAGTCCCGTGCCTTCCGGCTTTCCAAAGACATGGGGTGTTCAACCCATGCTTCGATTTTGTTATTCTGGTTAGACTAAGCTTAACTGGTTAGAAATTAATAGGTAACCTATAATTTTTTATTTATTACTGATCAACTATATAAAAACCTTGCCTCTTAAATCTTTTCATCAAAGCATACCCACCTATATTTAAAACTGTTTCATTTCTCATCACTTTTCAACAGCCTGCTTAGCATTTTTAAGTCTGTTTCTTCCACTTACTCTTACTTGCTATGTACTTATTCTTACACTGATAATTTTTAATGAGCTATTCCAATATTCTATTGAGCACTTACCTCACAAATTCCCATTTCTCTACTGTTACAATTAAGTTATAATGCTATTATAAAATGGCAAGTACTTTAAAATACTTTCCAGAATATAAACATTATTTAAAATTATTTCCTTAAGAAAAATTTCTAAGAATTGACTTATCAAGTTAAAATCAAATTTTAACTCACCGAGTTCTCGACACAATTGTTTGGCCTCCGAGAAACTGTGCAGTGCCTGGTCAGTGGCGTAGCAGTGACCTCCATACTGGATCCACTGCGACCTGTTTTCTTTTGCTGCTGGACATCTGGATGAATGTGTATGCAGGGACAACTCTTTTGCTGTGAAAATGTGAGACACAGCTACAACAATGCACGAAACAGCAACTGTCTTTTTATATAACGTTAAATGTCTCTGTTTGAAACTCTTGTTTTTGTGGGCAAGAAGTATTTAGCTCAATAAACAAACCAGAGAAAGCCACAGCCATACTCTGTGAACACACATTCCAGTTAGCTTCCTGGAATACCGTTTTTAAAACACGACAGTAGAAGAGAAAAGTACTTAGCCCTCTAATATGGATTTAAACTAAAGTAAAAATCTAGAAAGACAGACTGGGGACAGAAGCAAATATAGGTTAAGTAGGCCTGAAACTACTCTAAAATAATTAAATTCTTCTTTTTCATGGATTCCTCTCTCTTTTTGTTATATTTTTACAATATATAGTAATACACAGATCATATCTCGCTTCTTTTTACTTTCTCTTCCCTCCATGTCCCATCACCCCTCATACCTCCTTGAATTCCTCTTTATTTTGAATATATAAACCTAAATTTAACTAAACAAAAAATTATTTTTAGGAATTATACCCCTAAGTGATATCTTGGTAATTTGGTTTATGAAGCATAATCTATAGCACAGCAAAATCTCTTGCAAACCAAGAAAAGAGTAGGTATAGCTTTTCAGCTATTACAAAGAAAAACAAAAAAAGTTTCCCCTTGAACTGTTTTATTTTTAATTATGCTGTGTAACATGATGAGCCCTTATAATGAAGCTATTGTCCCTTAATGCCCATAATTAATCCCAATAGAAGAGCAATGAGACTGGAGGAGAAACGGTTAACACCTCATGGGTGACACACAGATTAGTTCATTTCTGACGTAGTCCCTCCCAGTTATCTCAGCCCAGACTAGTATGCATGTGGTCTGTACTTCCTCCAGTAACTGAAAGACTTTCTCATTTTTCTCTTGGTCTTGACATGGTGGGATGTCTTTTATTTGTGGTCTCGATGGCTCCAGAAAAATGGCTGCTTGTGTTTCTCTCTTATCAAGAAGCTTTTTGTGAGGTGCTTACTTCCTTCTGCTTCCCTACCTTCTGTTAGAAGCCAGGCTTGATCTTTTGAATTTCAATTACTTGAATGGCTTTTGCCTTTTATATTTGTCAATGCTACTAGTTGAAGATTTAAGTCTTTCTTTAGTTCAACACCTAGGGCTTTAGGTAAGTATTCCAGCTGCTGCTGCTGAGAATCAGTTTGTTAAATTTCTTTATAAAGTCTATAAAACTCTAACAACTCATTGAGGCTGCAATGGAAGCAAACATTATTATCAAGTTATTGTTGTGCTGGGCTTAACTATGTAGCTTCATTGGATGCAAAGCAAGCTGAACCACCGGCACCATGGCATCCCTAGGTCTGGTGGACTTTTCTGATCTATTTTAAAAAAATTTTTCTCACAGTAGAATCAAATGGAGGTAACTTATCTTTAAAGTCTTTGTTTCTAGTAGTCTGAGCTGGGGTGCCTTGGGTTGCATACATTCTTCATCTTACCTATTCCTCAAGAAATTTTGCTTTGAAATTGTGCATTTTTTTTTTTTTTAACAAACAAGAGCCTATACTGTGGTAAGTTTGCTATACTCCTGTCCAAAAAGGTCTAAGTTTTTGTACTGCGGTGAAACACTTATCACATAAAATTTAACACCTTTAAGTGTTTAGTTCACTGGCATTATGTAATTCACATTTTAGTGCAACCACTACCGCTATCTCTGAAACTTTTTTGAAAGTGTTTTTTGTTTAAAGAAAGAAGGAAAAGAAAAGAAAAAAAAAAAAAAAAAAAGAAAAATGTAGAATACAGAATTGGAAAAAAATTAATATAAAATTGCTAGTTGATATATTACATATTGTCATCTCAATAATAGTTGTTAAAGTTACAAAATCAAAGCATAAAAAGTAGCTAGACACTCAGACTTTGACAGTGTGAACTCTTCAGTGATCTAACAGAAATTCAGTAATATGGTCATTTATCTTACACTATACAAACCATTTTATCCTTTAGAGTACTTTCCTTCCTTTTCACTTTTACCGTATCTATTATACTTTTTGGACCCCATTATTCTGTCAGTTCTTATTATTTTTCATGCTAGAGAGACAATGTATCACTGAAACTTTTCATCTTGCAAAACTGAAACTCTATACTCATTGAAAAGTGACACCGTATGATGGGAAAACTTTATCTTTTTGCATAAGAATGAAACTGGACCCTTATCTCTCACCCTATATCATACTAAAACCAAAATGGATCAAAGATCTAAACATTAAAACAGAAACATTTTATCTTTCGTAAGATAAAATAGGTAAACCACTTGAAGACATAGGTGTAGAAAATGATTTTCTAAACAACATCAATTACACAAAGAAATAGCAACAAGAATTAAGAGATAGGATTATATCAGACCAGAAAGCTTTTTTACAGAAGAATCTGTCAATAGCATGAAGAAACAACCTACAGAATGGAAAAAATTTTTGCAAGCTACTCCTGAGAAAGAGGACTAATATTTAGAATATACAAAGAACTGAAAAAAATTAAATCACCCAAAATTAAAGAACTAGTTAAGAAATGGGCAAGAGAAATGAACAGACACTTCACAGAGGAAGAAATACAAACAGTGAACAGATTAATGAAAGAATGTTCAACATCTCTGGCTATTAGAGAAATGAAAAGTAAAACAACCTTAAGATTCGTTCTATCTTTCTCTGGAAAGAATGACAGTCACTAGGAAATCAAACAATAACAATGCTGGTTCAGCTGTGGTGAAAAAGGAACCCTCCTTCATTGTTGACGGGAATGTAAACTAATATAACCATTATAAAAATCAGCATGATTATGTTCTAAAGAACTGAAACTAGAAATTCCATAGGACCCAGCTATTCTCCTGCTAGGTATTTTCCCAAAATGCTTAGGTCGTCATACTACATCATACAATAGCAATATATTTATATCAGCACAAATTTTCTTTTTCTTTTTTTGGTACCAGAATAGAACTCACAACCTCTGGCTTGCCAGGCAAGCACTTACACCGTTGAGCTAAATCCCCAGCCCCAAGTAGCACAATCTGTGATAGCTAAATCCCAGAATAATACTTGGCTACAAAGAGGACAGGTTTGAGACATTCGTGGGAAAATGAACTCACCTGGAAAATACAATGTTGAGTGAAATAAACCAAATGCATAAGCTTAAATACCATTTTAAGATCTCATTTGAGACAGGCAAACAAAGAAAATGATACAGGATGGACAGAAAGGGACAAGGGGATAGATCTCTTGCTACAGGGAAGTAGTCCAAGGGAACAGGGTGAGGATTAAGGGAAGGGGAAATAAGAAGAATAAAGATATGCCATATACAGGATCCTAATAACCTCAATTAATATAAACACTGTAGGCCACAACATGAGCTAAGACAAATAATATCAAGAAGTATAAAAAAGGGGATAGGGGAATCATTAGAGAGGGAAGGAGGGGCAAGGGAGTTAAAGAAAAACTAACGAGTTATAATATGCACATGTAATGGCTCCCAAGATGACTGTAAACTGCATGAATTTCAAACATGTACTAATAAAAAATAAATTTAAAACAATTTACGAAAAGTAAACTCATAAATTGCATTCCATATAAGACCTAATAACCACCAGTCTACTTTCTACTTCTATGAATTTTGAGAAGTCTACCTCATATAAGTGAAATCATACAGTACTTTTTTGTGATTGTATATTTCACTAAGTATAATGTCTTCAAGCTTCAGCCACACTGTAGCATATGTAGTACATGTTATAGCATGTGTTTCTATGGTTAAATAATACTCCTCTCTGTATATATGTGTACATAACATTTTGCTTATCCATTCAGCTAAGGACAGACACTTGAGTTACTTCCATCTTTTGGTTATTATGAATTATGTTGCTATGAACATGTTCTACAAAAACCTATTTGGGTCTCTGGTTTTGGGGGGTTTTTAGGGGAGAGAGGGAGGGTCTGCTAAGCTGTCTGGGTTGAATTTGAACAGTGGACTTGCAGTCCTTTCGCCTCAGCCTCCCAAGTAACTGGAATTATAGCATGTGAGACTGTACCAACTTGAGTTATTGTTTCTGATTCATATGAATATATACTTGAAAGAGAATCTGTTGAATCATATGGTACTATAATCATAAACTTAAGTTTTGAGGAATTATTATACTATTTTCCACAGTGCCTATACCATTTTACCTTCCTACTAGCCCTATGTATTCATTTTATCTGTCAACATCCTCATGTATTCCAATAGTTTTTTTTAAAATTCCATTTATTTTCTGTGCCTAAAAACTAAAAAGACTTTTAAAGAAGTATCTCAGCTTTTGAAAACACTGCTATATGCACTAAAAATTCATATAGGAAAATTTACCTAGTTATACCATGACTAAAAGTCTCTGGGAACAAATTATCTGAAAGGATGTATCATACTTATTTCTATTTACAAAGTATCAAAAACTGTTTCTATGGAATTTTTGAATAACCCTTCTTTAAAAGCTATAAAACTTTCATTGCCTATGTAGCCATGTGCATGAATATCATATAGTGAATTCGTAGTTATTTAAAATCAAGCCTTACGTTTTGTAGATTTATAACAAATAGCACCATCCTTAACAGAGTTGCATTTTTCATGTTTCCAAATTCCTTTTGGATCTAAAATCACACAATTTCCAGGAGATTTTTGATTTTTCCATGGGATGTAGTCAAGTGCACTACCATCAGACCATTCAAAACTTGATTCACTTCCCTGTTCAAAAGTAATAAAGATAACCAGAGCTCTGATATATAACTTCAGAAAAGAACATAAAGGACAATATAAATGCATTTTAAGAAACACTGGAATTGAGGGTTATTTGCTTGCAAATACTGTAGCTCTGGATTTATCTGTGAAATCAGAGATCTACTTTGATACACTGGGACATTTGCCATGATACTTTTCTTTTTTTGGTGGGAGGCAGGGGACAGAGTCTCACTGTGCAGTTCAGGCTGGCTTGCAAACTCACTATGTAGCTCAGGTTGCTCTTGAATTTAAAGAGATCCTCCTGGCTCAGTCTCCCAGGGCTGGGATTATAGGGATGGGCCACTACACTTGCCCTCACATTATTTAAGTAGGACTTCAAAGTCAGACACAGAATTACTATACTCCGGGTCCTTTTTAAAAGATGAGTGTATATATTGCTTTAAATGACATGCAAATAAATGGAGTCAATTTATCATAATTACAGATTTACAATCCTAACATTCATGTTGTTTTGAATATTGTTTGCTGTGTTTCATAGTTTTGTGGTTTGGATGTCTGACTACATTTCTGACATTACAGAGACCACTGAGGAGCAAGGGCCTAGAAAATAGTTCTCAAGAAACTGTTGAATCAATCTTAACTTGCCACCATTTCTTTATTTCCTCTATTTTACTCTAAAGATTAAATAAAACCCACAATTTAAATCTCATTAGATGACTATCTTTGTAAGCCAGACACGATAAGTATATACATATACTAATTGACAGGATTCAAATGGGGCACACATATCATTGTTTATCAGCAGACTAATCTTAAGCAGTGTTAATTTCTAAGTGGAAAAATTGGAAGAAAATGTATATTTATAAATCCTAACCCACTAGGAGTTCAAGGCCAGCCTGAACCATATAGTGAAACTCTGCTCAAAAAAGACCACCCCAAAAAACCTAACCCTCTCTCAAACCCCCAAAACCAACCTCCCCAAACAACAACAACAAAACCCCAAAAAACCAAGTTAAGAATTTTTGTTGGCAAATTACATAAATTTCTGTATTAAAATCTCAATGAAAATATTATTATCCTGATTTTATAGAAGTACAAAGGTTAAATGGCTCATGAAAACCTAACACATAAATGGAAGAGCTGTTTTTAGTACTAAATCAGGTTTTTCTGATTCCATTTCTTTTGCACTAGCTCTGCAGTCGGTCTTCTGCAAATAAGCAGAGAGATGCTGTTGAGATATGAACCCACTGGGTTATATGATGGTTTTGCCATTTGCATCTACATGTACATTTTATAAAACTAAATTTTATTTGTAGCATGCTGTTAATGGTAAGAAAGTACTATGCTGTGTGAACAGAATCCAAGGACTTAACCAGATACTGTACTTCGAGTTAGTATTTTGTGTTCAGATTTCCAACCTTCAAAGTAACAAACAGATTTGGAAAATTAATGAAAAACAGAGCACCACTTACGTCGTGACTTGACAGTCCAACCCATAGTGGAAACCCATCACGCTTTACAATATCTTCCAGAAAGCGCTGGCCATTTTGGTTATGAACACTTGCCAAATAACCTCCACTTTGAGAACATGTGTTCAGTGCTTCATACCATGTTACCTTTTTCTGAATAACATTATAAACATCATCTTCATATGGAATAAACTGTGGCAGCGTAGTATTATACTCTTCCTTGTAGTCAACTATAATATTTTAAAAAATGTTAATCATTAAAGCATTTTAAATAAAATGAAAACATCATGTAAAAAGTTTAATAAAATTGAATGTATTGTTTGTAAGAGAGATCAAACACATACTTTTTCTTTTGCCACAGAACATAGAGTAGAATAGTATACTTGTCTAGCTGATTTTTAAAAAGACATAAACAGTCTTTATTTAAGAAGTGCGCATAATATACTGGGGATAGAAAACAACAATGCCTGAAATGATAGCAAAACTGTTACCCACTAGGGTATGTGAGAATAACTGCAATGGAGAGATTTATCTGCATTAGAGGTCTTAGGATGTCTGCTGGAAATACCAGACTGAAGGGTTAGGGGAAATTAAGACTAAAGAGAAACAGGTTATTCAGAAAGTAAGGAAGTAAACAACAACTTGAAAACAAGTAAACAACAAAACCACAATAATGAGGGTATTCCAAAGGGACGCTGAAGCCAAAGGATAGAGCTCCCAATGGCCAAAGCTGGAATGAATTGAGCAAAATATTAAGCAATGTAGTTTGTTGGATAATAATCCAAAGCATAAAATAACAGTGAGTTCACATGAAAATTAGAAGGTTAGATGAGACTTAAAAAGAAGATAAGTAGAAAGACATGCTAAACACAATAAAAACAAAACCATAGTGACTGAGGGCATTAATAAATGCCTGCATATATTTTAGTTTTGTGAGAACAGATAAATCTATTCAGAATCCCCAAAAATCTGTACAGTCACTTCCTACCACAGGAAGGTAGAGGATAACTCTCCACCCTGTAAGTGGAGACTGAGTGTAAGTAGCATCTTTACAAAGAGTACACTACAGAAGGGGGGAAACAAGTTGCTTTACAGTAGAGAAATCTAACAGTCACTTGGGCCAAGTGATTAAGGTTAAAATCAGTGGTGACAGACACCTTTACAGCATCTGCCATTCACATCATTTGATGAAAAGGACACCTTCTATCTTGTCTTCCCTCTCCCTGAAAAACCTCACTTTAATTGTGAGGACAGTCATTAGGTAATGCTAAGTGAGTGATGGTCTACAAAATAGATGCTTAGTGCTCCTCAAAACTGCCAATATCCTAAAAAACAAGAACAATCTGAAGAAACAGCATAGACAAGAAGAGCTTATGATGGAATGTAACGCAGTATCCTGGATGGATTCCTGAATAGTAAAAGGATATTAGATAAAACTAAGGAAATGTGAAAAACGTATGGATTTTAGTCAATAATAAAAAAATGTATCAAAATTGGTTCCTTAGTTGGGACGAATGTACCATGCTAATAATGTAAGATGTCAACAACAGGGGAAAGTGGTGGTGGGAGATAAGGGAACTCTTACTATCTGTGTAACTTTTCTGTAAATCTAAAGCAACTTTAAAGTAAACAATTTATTTAAAATGAAAAAAAAAACACAAGAAAATGGAGAGCTTCTTGGCAGGAGGAAAACATAAATAAAGGAAGAAATAGGAGGCCGGACCAACTTCACACAGAGGACGGTTAAAGAGATCAGTCTCACTGAGAAAAAGAGGGAGCAAGAATGGGGAAAGCAGGCGAGGAGGCTAGGAGAAAGCCTGGAATTAGGAACAGAGGCTAATTTCTAAAGTCTCAAAAGTGTACACGGACTCAGAATGACAGAGTAGGGAATCCTGAGAGACTGTGGATCCCAAGGGTCTCCAGGATGCTGCTGTGCATCACGGTGAAGGAAGATGATCGGCAGGGTGCCATTATCATAGGTTCTGTGTCAGCAGACGGCTCAGAGAAGGGTGGTAGTGACACTAGGTAAGTGGTGAAAATTTTAAATGTAACATCCACTTTAAAGCAGACTTATTTAAGTATTAGGCAAGGTTGAAAGGCATTCATTTGCCTGAAATGTCAAAATTCTACCTGAACAAATTTTCTTATTTACCAAAATCTTGTGCATTCATCAAGGTCCCACCAAGTACTACCTCATAGAGACTTAACCTTATTTTCATTAATCACTTTTATCTTTACAAAATAATCTAAGATTGTTTTGTGTCTTTTTTAAAGAAAAAAACATAAAAACAATGGTACAAAGTTTCAAACCAAGATTATAGGAGAGTAACAATGATTAGTACATTGTGTATTATCTTTAGTTGCTCATATTACATGATATAAGCTACTTTTGATAAAGTTACATTCTCTCCTCCTCTGTAGGCTCTGCAGCACCTCATATGGAACTGAATAAAGAGAAAGCCCTCAAAAATCCCTGCTGTTTGGGCTGGAGACTTAGCTCAGCGGCATATGCACCTGCCTTGCAAGCAGGCGGTTGTGAGTTCGATCCCCGGTACCCGATACAAATGAAAAAGACAAAAAAAAAAAAAAAAAACCCAAAAAACAAAACAAAAAAAACCCCGGCTGCAGAATTCATACTAGTGGAGCTCGTGGCTTGGCATTCTTCCTCCCTGGAGTGGAAACTCTACCTCCATATACTTACCCATTTCAATTTTACAAGCAAGAATGCTGTGCTGGTAAAAGGGAAGTATTTCTTCAATAACATTAAAGGTTTGAATATCCCAGAGGCCATCCACATTCAAACCAGCCAAAAACTTGCCGTTTTTTACAGTTGGTCTTCCTGTTCTCCAGTGTGTATATGACAGCATGGTTTTATCAAACCACATCAGGGAATTATCTAAAGAAGAAATGCATTTTTTCTATGCTCAGAGATTATTTTAAGCATTATTGTTATAAGGTTAATATTTCATGGGACTAATTTGCCTTCTTCTTTTCCTGCCTTCTAAATGGTTATATGATTGTATGTATCTCATTAAAACATGATTATATCACTAAAACATTTATTTTTAATTTGGAAATATAAATTATAACCATGAAAATAAAAATTTACATACAATTCCATCATTCAATAGTTTAATATTTTGTTGTTTTCTATCAAACACCCATTTCTCTTACATGTTTAATTGCAATGGGAATGAACACAACTATTTTATAAGAAATCATTCATATATTACACAATTAGTGAGATAAATCTCTGGACATAAGCTGTATACAATTGTGCATACATATGGTTAACTTTAAGATGACAAGCATATTCCGTGACAATATTTAATTCAGTCTTCTCTAAGTCTTCATGACCCTGTGGTAGATGAATCTTTGTTAGAGATGGCACAAGCGGCAAAAATACATAAATAATTCTTGATTACAGTGAAAAACCTTTGTGCCATCAGGAAAGTGATGGGAGAAACTATTTCCAAGTCATTTAGGGTTTTATGTCTAAATTAGGGCTTTATATCTAGAATAAAGAATACTTAAAGTTTAACAATAAAAAGACAAAGAGCTCAACTAAAAAAATAGGCAAAAGATCTAAACAGTGATTTCTTCACAGATGATATACAAGTAATTCATAAGTACTTGAAAATATGTTTAATATCATTAGCCACCAGGGAAATACTATAAAAACCTCTAAGAGATATCATTTCTCATTCATTTGAATAGTGATTATATAAAAAAGATAGTTAAACACAAATGGCATAGATATGGAGAAATCAAAACTCTCATATACTGATAGTAGAAATGGAGAGTGTACAGATGCTTTTGAAAACGCTGGCAGTTCTTCAAAGGGTGAAAAATTCAGCAATTCCACAGGAAGTTGTATACCCAGTACGTATGCACAAGAGAAATGGAAACACATGTCTACACAAAAATGTGCACATGAATGTTCAGAGAAGCATTATTCATATCACCAAAAGTATGAAAACAACCTAACTGTCCACCAACCAATGACTGTATAAGTAAAATGTGGTATCCATAAAATGGAATATAACTCAGACACACCAGGTAATAATGTATTGATACATGTTATAATATGGATAAACCTTGAAACTTTTTTGCCAGGTGAAAGAAGCCAGCCACCCAAAATCACAATATTATATGATCTCATTTATTATAGAAATGTCTAGATTAGGCAACTTGTATAGAAGAAAGTAGATTTATAGTTTCTGGTGGGAATGGGGAAGGAAATGTTAAGGGATACCATATTTCTTTTTGGGAGTAGCGATGATTATACAACTTCATGACTACACTAAAAATTTTAATTGTACACTTCAAATGGCTGAACTGTTTGATATCGGAATGTCTCAATAAAGAGCTCAAAAAAGTTTCTGGGCCTATTAAAATTGTAAGTCCATATGAACAGTGATGTCATTGTCTGCACATACCAATGGCTGTGCTGGCTATTTCTACCTTTTGCTGATTACCAACTCCCAAAGCAGCATACCTAAACATCTGCCTATATCAGTGATGCAACAGAAATACTGTGTAAGTGATATGCACCCCACTTCTGTACTGGGGATGGAACCCAGGACTTTCACACTGAGATATATCCTCAGCCCTTTTAGTTTTTATTTTGAGACAGGGTTTCATTAAATCACCAAGTTGCTCAAACTGGGCTGGAACTTGCCCTGCCTCAGCCTCCCAGGGGGCGCGGGATATTGTGCCTGACCGATTTGTTTTTCTCTCCATCCTTTATATCACCATGTGTTTCCCAAATCCTTGTTCCTTTTCTCAAACTTTAAAGTTGTTGCTTTTCTTCTACATTCAGTGTTCTGTGGTGTATTTCTAAAGTTGCTCTAACATTCACTTTTTAAAAATCGGGCTTATCTCTTGGTTGCTGTGTTGGCGTAATATTTTTTATTCATGGCCCAACTGTGGAAAATTCAGGTTTCCAAAACCAGAAGTCTTTGTACAGGTGCTACACAGAATTAAATATTCTGTAAGTACTTTGAAGTAACTAAAAACATTGATATGACTTGTACATAAACTTATGGATATGAATTTAGTAAGAATTAAATTTAAACCAGACTCATAAAATGTCTTTCTATATGTCCCTCATATGCCTGTATATTTTATTAAAAATTTTATTACCCATGTATTTTATTAAAAAATTTAAAAGATGTCTTCATATCTGAAAATGTTTTTTCATATATGAGCTGCCAAAGCAAACACTGAAAATGCTTTTTCAGAATATACACATTTTGTTTCAGATAACTATAAAGTATATCAGAGGGTACAATTTAAGTGTACATTCTGGGTTTGTTCTTGACTGCTCAATACAAGGCCACTGCTTTTTCAATCACTTTCAGTTAAAGCCTACAAACTTTCCATCTCATTTCTGTCCATTTTCCCCCTCTACTCCTAATTTAGTGCAAAAGAAGAAAAGACTCAAGCCAACTAAGTCCTTCTGTGAAGAATTTATGTTCAAGTGGAAACGCAAGTCTTATCTATTGCTTAATAGTTTAATCACAAACTCATCTGCAAGTAATAAACATTTAGGGACAACCTTGGCAATCATAAGAAACAGGTTAGATAGCAAATAAAAAGCCTATTTTTAAAAATGGTCAAATTTGAGTACAGTAATTTAGTTTCTTTCCTACACTTCTAGTTCATTATCTAGTGTCCTTATTAAACCCATATCAGGGAAAATGTATGCTTTTCATGATTTATGTTCAACAAAGTATGAAAATATTTTTTCTTAATTTTGAAATTTCTAGTTTTCATGGCATCTCTGGGTATGTTATTCACCCTAAATCCATGTTAGATTTGGTGTTTTTTAAAAAAATTATATATAATAGCGCATGCCTATAATCCCAGCATCCAGAAGGCTGAGGCAGAATGTTCAACACACATTCATGTTTCATGAATTCAAAGCTGGTATGGGCCACATAGGGAGTTCAAGGCTAGCCTGAATGAGAGAGTGAGACCCTGTCTCAAAAAAGGAAAAAACTGTCAAATAATATTTTGTATTCATAGCATTTCTTTCAAATTACATATCCCACTGTCAAATCAAGAGTCTCATTTTTATGTTGCATACCGTATGCATGCCTCAAGACAATGTTATAAACCTTAGGTGCAACATTAATAGAAAGTGATTCTGTTCTCATTCATCCCATACAGTAAGGCTATAAAGTAGGTACTGGAGATTTATACGGGAGTGTGGTCATTTTTAGTTAATCTTAAGTTGCTTGAAGGAAGACTGGGGAAAGGGTATTATTGTTCTCCATTTAAGTCTAAGATTGGTGGGAAAAGTATAATAATGACATTGATAGAGTTACAAAAACTTCCATGTATGAAATTAAGTACATGATTACACTATTTTTTTTTTTTTTTTCAGTTCTGGGGATTGAACCCAGGGCTTCAGAAATGCCAGACGAGTGCTCTACCATTGAGCTAACTCCCAAGCCCTAATAAGGTTGTACTTTTATATACTGATAGACTTTGAAGAACCATACTTTTGTAGCTTGATAAGTAGGTTACAGTCACGTAATAATAAAGCAGAGGAAACTGATACATTTACAACTTACTTTCATAAGTTATGCCCAACAAGACCCATGAAGCCATGTAGTTGAAGTGCAGAAGTTGCTCAAGCACAAACTCATTCTCTTTTTCATTTCGAATATTTAGAATATGTGATCTTGAATCTGTTAGATGAAAAATAGTCAATAGGTTTTATAATTACTTAAGCAGAACACTTTACTTTGCTCATAACATTTAAAAAGTATTCATTCCCAGTTTAATATTTTTCAAAACTTGATAATGGAAAAACAAACATGTAAATGTAAACTATCTTATTGTACAAAATAGGTTCTCAAATTTTCAAACAATTTGATGTTAAATTTGATGTTACAGTGTAGTGTAAAAGTAGCAGCTAACCAATTTTCACTTTGCTTTTATCTTAGCATCCACTTTTAAGCTTTTTAATGTGATTTCTTTTCCTTGTCAAAAAGAATCCATCTTGCTTACACACATGAAGACAGACTAATTCTCAACTGGGTAAGTAAAAAAGTTATTCATGTACTTTCTCTTTTAACTAATTGCACATTTTAATATGTTTTAATTGATAAGGTAGAAATTAGGAGCTAAAAACTTTTGAGATTTAGTTACTAGTACTAATTAGAAATATTTATGATACAGGCAACTTTTAAAAAGAATTAGCAAAACTCGGTACAAGATGACAGTAGAATCTACTTACTCATTTTTTGGCATTTGGAATGAACTTCATCTTGTGTCATTGCTGTATGTCTATTTTTTGTTAACATGAAATGGTAGCAAGAGTTCTGAAATGGTATCCATGGGGTATTTAGAGCAGGCGATGGACATTTAACTTTGTCAACTGGCTTAACCTCAGTTTCATCTAGAAAAAAGAGTTGATGGTAAGAATTCTAATTTGAGAAATAATGTTAACTCCTGTTTGTTGTCATTAGCCTGAATTTATACGAAAAACGCAAGTAGCCTAGAAATAATAGCCTGCTAAAGCTTCTACTCTGTTTATGGTCAAAAATAGCACATAGGAGGCTTGCTTTTTTGGGGGACTAAATTGTTTAAAACCATTTTCTTAGCTCAGCAATGGAGAAGAAAAATGCAGAAAAGGAGGTGCTTTTAGGTTAAACACAGTTTCTGCCTTCATGCATTATCAAATGTCAAGTGCAAGGGGCGATGTCAGAGAAACTATACAAACATATTAATTGATAACAGGTTCCTAGCTATAACTTTGAGAATTTACTTTCAAACTTTTACTGATATCTCTAATTTTAAAGGGACATTTTAATGAAATACTTGATGTTCTAAGTTATTACTTTCAGCAAATCAAACAGAAATATCATTTATCATATGGCCACTGAAAAATCTGGTTTTTTTTCATTTTATTAAAAGGCTGTACATTCTAGATGATACAAATATACATATGCCTTACTCAGAATAAATCGAATGGACTTGACATGTAGCTCTAAAGGTCATTCAGTATCTTTCCCATCTCACAACCAATCCCTTTGTCAGGGACATAGTGTGTTCTCTCCACTACAAACCCACAAATGGGGGCTCCTGATGATTTAAAATCACTTTCCTTTGGTTGAGCTAGCGATGGCATACCTGACTCAGGCTGAGCCCATCAGAGTCTAAGAATGTGAAAAGTGGAATTCAGACATCATGAACTCAACTCCAGTAATAGCATAAGTTAAAGTTGCAGAGCCGCCATGTTCCACTATGTGCAGAGAGAAGCAGAAAGCATATAAAGGACAAGGTGCAGACACACAGACAGAAACAGAAATGACAGGTGGAAGGGCGCGTGTATGGGCTCCTACTTTCCATTCCCCAGGAAGCTTAGCTGTATCTCTGTTTGGGGGGTTCTAAATTTTCCTGTTGGCTGAAGCTGAGTTAAGGTTGTTGTTATAACTTGCAGCACACAGTCTTAACAGAGGCTCATGAAAATAAGGTTTGCTGCTCATTTTAAGAATTATGAAAAAGTTCCTACAAAAATAAGTTTTCTGAGACAATATCAATATAGTGTATGCATAAAAGGAGGCTGAGTCACAATGGGACTTGAATACTGATAAATAAGAAACTCAGAGTATAGAGAGCAAAATAAAAAATAATGGGAAGCAGGGAGAACTTTTTAAAATGCAAAGGAGAACAAGGGATGGCGGGAGGTGGATAGGAAAAGGAATTTTTTTAAAAAGTTGAATAACAATGGAAATAGAGCTTTTGCAAATGAGAAGGGGGAACAAGAGTTGGAGAGAATAGGAAGGGAGGTGGGAGAAAGGAGACAAAACTAAGAATTAAGATTGTTATGCACATATACAAACTTCCCATGATAAATGTAATAATTATGTGCTACAAACGTCTACTAATAAAGAAAAAAAGAAAATGTGGTATTCACAAAGATTGGAATACAACTCAACCATAAGGAAAGATGAACTTAAGTCATTTGTAGGAAAATGGATGCACCCCAAGACCATATTAAGTGAAAGAAATCAGACACACGAGCTTATATATACATGGTTTCTCTTATATGAGAAAATCGAATAATGACTAAAAAGAAAAAAGATAGAGGATAGGAAGTAGGGAGATGATCTTTTTGAAATGGCAAGGGGATCAAGAAATGGGGAGGTAGGGGATGAAAAACAGGATTAAGATGTGTTATATTCATGTACCAACCCCATGCAAGCAATGTAAACATTGTGCACTGCAAACATGTGCTAATAAAAATGAAAAGTCAATGTTGTCAGCTGATATAAAAAGGTAAATATGTCTCAAATAAAAAATTAATGACAAAATACTTACTGAGTAATTATACTTGAATGCCAATTTTTGCAACAAGTTTTTTTGAAAAAGAATATGATTATAACTTCTTCATAATTATAAAACCAGATTTTGCAAAACCACTGGCCCAAAAATTCTTATGAGACTTATAATTTAAGAATCAGAATAAATGAAATCCACATACTTCCTGGATAGTAACAAATAGCACCTGGCTGATTATCATTGCAATCAGCTGTTTTCCAGAATCCATCAGTGTCTAATATCACACAGTCTTCAAGTTGTTTGCTATTTTCAGCCCAGCGACTAAAATGAAGACGTTTCCCATCTGACCAACCAAAGTTGCGTTCATCCTGTAAGTGACAGAAGTACATTTCTAGTGGTGATATTCATGGTATCCCCTTTTTTATTATTTTGACACATATGGTCAGTCTACTGACTTTCGACTTTATTTTATATTTAACACACACATGCATTACATTATGTGTTAGGGAATGTGTTTAGTACTTTATGAATATGGAATTATTAAACCTCATAGCAATATGAGAGAAGTTCTATGATTGTGTCCATTTTACAGATGAGGAAGGTGAAGGTTTGTAACGTGTAAATCACATAGAATATAAAATGAAGTTTTGTGTCTCCAGTCCAGGCCATCAGTCTCTGGAGTCTGTGTTCTAACCTAGTGCTTTCCTGCCTCATACATCATCAGAACTGCTGGTTTTTGGAAAACAGAAACCACTGGAGAAACCATAGCATAGTGGAAATACCTGGGCTGTAGAGCTAAGGGTACCTGGTTTCATCCTGTGTGGTTGGTTACTTGCTTTTGCCTCACGAGCCTACTTTTCCAAGTTTCTATTCCCTCATCTGTTAAAGGGTGTGCCACCTGACAGTTATGTGTAAAACAACTCAGCAGCTAGCTATACAAATGTTAGTTTCCTTCTTAACTCCTTAGGTCTTGTGGCAAAATTTGTCTCTTCTGATATTTGTCTTTGGGAGGAAGCTTCCCTCTTTACTATCTCTCATCATATGCTACAATCATCTATTTTGTTTTTGTTTTGAGAAGGTCTTATTATGTTACCCAAGGAGGCTTCAAATTTCTGGGTTTAAGTGATCTTCCCTGCTCAGCCTCCCAAATAGCTGGGATTATAGACATTGCATCAGTGCACCTGGCCAAAAAAACCACATTTTTTTTTTTGTTGGTCTGTCTGTTTTTGTAGAGCTGAGGATTGAATTTAGGACCTCCTGCCTGCTGGGAAAACACTCTATCACTGGTCTATATCCCCATCCGTTAGAAGGGGGTGAACATGTCTTCTCTCTAATAAGGGCCTCTCCACACCCCTATTTTGCGTTAGGATTTACAGAGTAGGCACAGAGCCCAGGGTATGGTTGTGGAGCAAAGGCTTGTCTGAACTTCCCCCATGGTGCTACCAGAAAGCCTTACAGAACCAGTTTTGCCCTAGTGAAACCAGTGAGCTAAACTTTCCTTAGTCCGGAGGCAATCTGCATCACTAGTTTATCAGGAACACTGACAAAGGCCACACACAGGCTCTTCGGGAACCGTAAGTAATCAGCAAACACCACTAGGTGTTTCACCCTGAACCATTCCAGTTCTGGCTGTAAACTTTCGAACTCAGACTTGGCCTTGGCCCTCTGATTTTTGCCACAGTGTAATCCACCCTGGCCTGGATTCCTTTTCTTGTGCTGTACTCGCTTTAGAACTTTCATTCCATCACTGATAAATCCTTTCATACCCTCAAGTTCTTTACGGAATATGCAATCTTTTAAGACTATAAAATATCTCTTATCAAATTCTTGGCTTCTGTTGAACTTAAGTTTAATATTGGCTTTCTTGAAGGAATAAAATATCTTTTTAATACTCACAAAAGAAGGTTGTTTGTTTTTGCATTTTCAGATACTAAACTACTGAGGTATAAGAAGGGGATAGCAGATATTTTTGTTTCTTTCAGTTACTCTCTTTTGTTTTATGCCTTTGTTATGACTGTTAATTTCCAGGATCTTTGCCTCTTTCCGATTTTCATTGAGAACTTGGGCCCTTGTCTTTTTCAACATTCCCTAAGATGTCCTGATGTCTTCCTGGCTCTGCCTTTGACTTAGGCACTTCTTAAATGCTATGGCCATACTCTGGACTTTATCCAACCGGAACTGCTGCATGTCAGGTACAGTAGACAGGCCTTGCTTCAGGCCAACGCCAATGCCTGCATGAATTTATATAAAATAGCTGGCCTCTCCATCTCTAGATCACTTGCTTTCTACTAAAACTTAACTCAGCTTCATTTTACTTAAAGAAAAAAAATTTTACATTCTTACTATTTCTTCTCTCTCTCTCTCTCTCTCTCTCTCTTTCTTTTTTTGTCTTTTTGAGACAGAGTCTCTCTATGCAATTTAGGCTAGATTTGAGCTCACTTTGTAGCCTAGGCTGGTCTCAAATTTGCAATGATCCTCCTGCCTCAGCCTCCCGAGTTCTGGGATTACAACAGTGTGCCACCACACCTAGCCAACATTCTTACTATTTCTTACTGTTTAAAATCTTTCAATGTCTTCCCACTGCTTTCAACACAAAATACTATTTGGTAATATCCCATCACGTTCCAAAGATTTAAGGCACTTTAGAAAGATATATAATGAATAGCTACACAAAATAAGTTAAAATTAGGAGTAAAAGGAAAAGAAAATAACACATAAAGATTGAGAATAGAATATGAAAAAGGACCACTATCATGAAGTGGAAGAAAGATTTAAAAATATGTGTACATAGAAAAATAAATTGGAGGATATATACCAAAATACTAAACCACATTTATATTTAGTTACTTAAATAACAGTGACTATCATTAAACAATGCTTTTAATCAAAGTGACTTATTTTTCTCCTTCTCCTCCTTCTTCTCCTTCACCTCCTCCTCCTTCTTCTTCTCCTTTCATACTGGCAGTCGAACTCATGACCTCATGCTTGCCATGCAGGTGCTGTGCCACTGAGCTATATCCCTGGCACCTTCTTCTTCTAATTTACTGCATTTTACAGTTTTTCTACAGTGACAATACTGATTTTGTTTCAAAAGATTTGAAGATTTAAAGCTTTTCTTTCAAAAAATCTTGATCAAAACTAAGAAATGTGACAACTTATTGCTACCCTCACGGCAGACACAATGCGAGTCTCCCAGAATACTAACCGCTGCTGAGAAAGCAAGAAAAAGGCATGCTGAGCAGGAGTGGGTGCTGTGAGGGCTGAAAGAGCGGCTCTCAGGGCTTGATCTGGGGTAAGTGCTAGTGCACTCACAGCCTTATTCTTCAAACCTTTCTAAACGATGCTTTTAACTGAGCTCCTGAAAATTCTTTTTTTTTTTAAAATCATTATTTTTATTCTGGGATTGTGCTAGGATGAAACTGTTTTCAATCACATTTTTTCCATATAGCACTAGACCCATTTTGATATGCTGGGATACATATGAGGGATGAGAAGAGAGGCAAATATGCTTACAGTGCCAAGAATACAACAGCTTTTTCAAAAAAGGGAAAAACCCACAAACTTCCTGACAGCTTTCTCAAAAAAAAAAAAAAAAAAAAAAAAAAAAAGGAAAAAACTATTCCTGTATTTGATTACAGCTAAAGCTCAGCTGCATACCAATTCCTGTTTGTGCTGCATGCACTTAGGTTAGCACTGGGAATTCACGGGAGACTGATACCGTATTCTTAGCTGGGCTGTAGAATGAACGAGAAGTACTCCAGACATCTACCCAGTAGGAGAACTTGATACGTGAAACACTATGCTAATCTCTTTTTAGAGCAGCCTAACTTTTCTCTGCGGATCTGAAAGTGATAGAAAACTCCCTTGAACACGGTCCACAGCACTGCCATAGCTTCAACTCAGTTTGAGGTTTTAATTCTTTCCTTCTCATCTTTTCACTGGCTGATGAGATATGAAAGCTCTTGATTCTAGCTTAATAAAATAAAGGGAGGTGATCAAGTATTTATGGATTCTAGAACCTTTTCTTCACCTTCACAAGATCTTTCAGTTGGGGGAAGATAATAGACACAAAAACCCACATTCATGAAATCAACTGGAGTAAGACTTTAAGCTCTTCACTTTCCTTTAGTCTATGAGAGACACTATCTACAATAAAAATGTCCCACCCCGTTACTCAGTCTTGGTGATGGAGATTGAAGCCTTACGTCTTGACTGGAGAGTCCAATCCAGAAGGAAGAGTTCCAGAGCACGACCTGCACGGTGAGGAAGGCCTGCTGGTAAGGGTCAGTGATGGTCACCAGGCGCATTTTCTCCTTTGCACACTCCCTTTGTGCATTATACCAAGTTAGAGTCTTTGGGATTATTTTGTACAGGTTATTTAAATATTTTATGGTCTCTGAAGTATTTGGCAAAGGCCGTCTGTCTTTAACTTCTGTGTATAAAAGAAAACAAAAACAATTATAACAATAACTCCCCACATTTTAAAAGTCATTGGTTAGTTTTTCAGATTGCTCATGTTACTGATCTATTTTAGATATTACTTGCCTACTTATTTATTTTAGATTTTGCATGGGAGAATTAGGCATGTCTTGCTGTATAGGGTGAAATGTATGACCTCAAACATTTGGTTTCTAAAATCAGAAGGAATTTTGTTTAGTTGCTCTGATTTAGGAAGGAGAAATGCTGTTACCAGAAGTAGCCTGCAATAGTATTATAATCTTATGTCAGTGCCAAATATTGTCTTTGTCTAAACTGTTTTATCAGGAATGATGTTTAAAAGATCTTTACATAGTTTTTACCTAGGAGAGCTACAATGAGAAAAATGTACAAAGTTACTTACTAGAGGATATATTTGAACCTGTGCTTTATAGTACCTATCTGAAATAACAAAGTTGCTAAACAGTGTGGGAAAAATGGATAAAGATTAATTTAACAAAAACCTCTCCAAAATACACGGGATAGTCCCTAATGTTCTTAGTACATGATACAAATGGTCTTTTTAATCATTTGTTAGGAATTCCTTGTGATCAGTGAAAAGTTATGTAATGCCTTTTTAAAACTATTATTTTTCAGCCAGGCATGGTGGCTCACACCTGTAATCCCAGCACTTGGAGGCTGAGGCAGGGGATCATTGCGAGGTCAAGACCAGCCTGAGCAACAAAGTGAGTTCAAGACCAGCCTGAACTGCATAGTGAGACCCTATCTCAAAAAGACATATATGCCCACAAAAAAGTATTATTTTTCAAAATTCCTATTTTTAAGTACATATTTTACTTTTATTTGGATTATATGACATAGATCTGTTATAGTGCTTCACACCTTTTTAAAAATGAGGGCTAATTTGGCAGTACTAAACTACATTTTAAAAATTAGGATTTTTTCTTGTCTTTTTCTCAAGATAAAGACTAAAATGTAAAAAAATGCCAGAGTAGAAAGAACAAATTCATAAATAACTTACTCTTATTAGGCAACTTCCTTGAAGTACTTAATGTTTATATATAAGAATAGCAATTATATCTAAAAAAATCACATTCCATTTGAAATAATCTGACTTAGTGTCAGTATGAATTTATCCATGCTGCAAAAAATTTTTTCTTTGAGACAAGGTCTCCCGATGTAGTCTAGGCTGGCCTTGAGCTCACATCTAAACCAGGACGTCCTCAACTTGCAGCAATCCTTCTCTTCAGCCTCCCAAGTGCCCCACCATGTCCTATGCTCCATGCTACGATTTTAAGCTGCTTGATTATAAGTGTATACCAATTCATTTATAAAATTTTTGTAAAAAAATCTAATAGCATAAAAGTAATATGGTTATCCAGATAATAATTGATACCTGAATATTTCTGACACAGAGACACAGAATGGCGTTCAGCACAGGAAGTAAAATTCCACGTCCCAGTAAAAGGTGACTTTGGGAAGTTGAGTATCAGTGCACAGTGGTAGTGGGAATCTTCGTCAAAAAACTAGACAGAAAGGCAAATTTGTACACACAATGATGAAACTGATAGTCATAAGATCCTATGAAGATAAATATACAACACTGTCAGAACCTGAAGGACAAAATAAAAGCTGATCTAAGAGGGATGCTTATAAAGGTGAATACTACACTAGAAAAATACAAAATAACCTAATGATGCATTTTAAATTCTAGGAAAACAAGAGCAGTTCAAATCAAAAGCTGTAGAAGGAAAGAAATTATATATATCAGAACATAAATTAATGAAATTGAGACTAAAAGCTCACAAAGGATCAATAAATCAAATAATTGGTTTTTAAAAGGATAAATAGCCAAACTTAACAAAAAAAGACCCACATGCAATTACAAATGTAAAAAGTGAAATTACAGCAGAAACTATAGAAATTCAAAGGATTATCAGAAACTATTTCAAAAACATGTTCCAATAAATTGGAAAAATCTAGAAAAAATGGATAAATTATTGCACACATATGATATACCAAAATTGAACAACAAGACATAAAAAGCTGTACATATCCATAACAGACAATGAAATTGAAGCAGTAATAAAAAGCCAAGTAAGAAAAGCCCACAAACCAATAGATTTACTGAAAAATTTTACCACACTTCAGAAAAGAACTAATGTCAGTACCCCTCAAACTGTTCGGTGAATTGAAAGGGAGGAACATTGCCAAACTCATTACATGATGCCAACACAGCTGTAATACCAAAACCGGACAAGAGCGCAATAAAAAAGGAACACTACAGGCCAAGCTCGTTAATGAACATAGGTATAAAAGTTCTCAATAAGATACTGGCAAACAAAAAGTAACAAATCAATAAAAAGGTTATATATCACAATCAAGTCAGCTTAATTCCAAGAATGTGAGGATGGTACAACCTACGTAATTTAATAAATCTTATAAATAGACTTAAGAATAAAGATCAAGCCGGGGGTTTAGCTCAGTGGCATAAGTGCCTGCCTGGCAAGTGCGATGTTATGAGTTCAATCCCTGGTACAAAAAAAAAAAGAATAAAGATCAAAAGATGCAGAAAAAGCCTTTGACAAAATCCAACATTCTTGTATAACAAAATCCCTGATGAAAATAAGTACAGAACAACGAGCACTTTAAATTGGCAAAAGCTACTTATCACAAATCCATAGCCAATATCATAGTAATAGGGAAAATCCTGAAAGCATTTCTCTGAAATCAAGAATAAGCCAAAGATATGCACTCTCCCCAGTTGTCTCCAATATAGGACTTCAGTGTTAGAGCAATCAGGCAAGAGAAAGAAGTAAAAGGGAGGTCCTGAGTTCCATTCCTGGTACCAAACACCAAAAGTAAGAGAGATACAAGTAGAAAGTAGTCATGCTATCTCTATACATAGGAGGTATGAACCTTTAGATAGAAGATCCCAAAAAACTCCACCAGAAAACTCTTAGAACTAATAAACAAATTTGGCCAAGTGGCAGGATACAAAATCAGTGCACAAAAACTAATAGTATTTCTGTACACCAGTAATGAACTCAGTGGGAAAGTAATCAGGAAAATGATCCCATTTACTATAACATAAAAAGCAAAACAAAACAAAACAGATACTTAGGAATCAACCTGTGGTAGACTGATAACTGATGGTCAACTTGTAAACCAGCTGAATTGAATCAGTGTGGTGTTGAGTATGATGGCTCACTTGGGGACTGTTGCCAACATAAAAAGGAGAATTGGAGGGGAAGAAGTGTGATTGTTGTTCGGTGTTGTTGGTTCTCCTGTTGCTCTTGGTTCTATTGGAGTAGGTTGTTACCTTAAGTATCACTTCCTGGTTCCAGAAAGAAAGATGATGTGCTGTTCAGTATCCTGGAAAAGCTTGTCTTGCTGGCTTCCGGATATAAGAACTTGGCTGTTCTCATCATTGGAGGAGCTTAGGACTTTGTTATCACTGAGGATGGTGGCGGTATTTTTCAGGGGACCTCTGGTTCTTACTTTGAGCATCACTTTCTGGCTTTAGTGCAGATCTTTCAGTTTGCTGGCACAGATCCTTCATCTCACTGGCACAGACTTTCTAGCTTTCACCATTGACCTTTGGGCCTTCTCACTGCAGATTTGTGAAACAGACTTGCAGGAGTCATTGTCATGGGCTCCAGGCCTTCAACTGGACTCATGAGGGCACTGTCCTGGTCTCTAGGTCTTCAACTGGACTCATGTAGGATGTTGCTGTGGGATCCTGGCCCTCAGCCCTTAGTTCTGTGGGTCTTAGTGTATGGACAGATTTCTTGTACTCTTTCTTTTGTATTTAACTCCTGGGTGTCTATCATAAAATATTACTATAAGTTACGTGTCCTGTATTTAATGGTTGTCATAGTTACTTTTTACTTCATCGCTGAGACAAAATACCTTAAGCCCAAACTGGGGAAAGGAAAGGTTTATTTCTTACAGTTTTTGGAGGTTTCAGTCCACACTCAGTTGGCTCCAAGGCAGGTGGGCATGGCTGGGCCACAGTTCATGGCAGCTGCAAAACAGCAAGCTGGAACCAGCAAAGAGCAAGACACACCTCTTCCTGCCATTACGTCACATCCTGGCTCCACTCTTATGTGAGTGAAGCACTGACATCATCAATCCAAGCACTAGACAATGAACCAATCACAAATACACAATGCAAACTCATGAGGCCTGGGGACACAGACATAAACCATGACATTCCACCCCTGGCCCCCAGGACTCATGTACATCCTTTATACATTTAGTCCACCTCCAAGAGTTGCCAAAGTCCTAAGTTTCAGCATTGCTAAAAAGTCCAAGTCCCAAGTCTCCTCCAAGGTCTATGGCAAACTCTTAACTGTAACCCCTGTACAAATGAAACAAAGTTAAACATTTCTGAAATGCAAAGGCACAAGATAAACATTACCATTCCAAAAGTTACAAACGGGAATATAAAGCATTGGAAACAAAGCAAGTCCAACATCCAGCAGGACAAACATTAAATCCTAGAGTTCCATGCTCAGCATCTGAAACAATCTGGTTGCAAGCTCCAAAAGGCTTGGGTGATTCCACCCCCATAGCACTTCCAGAGATTTCAACTCCTGCAGCTTTCCTCTTAAATCGTCTCTGCTTGCTTTTTGCAGCTTTCCTTGGGTCATCCACGTTCCTGGCTTTTCCAAACTTCTGGGGTCTCCACTGCACCTTTGACTTCACACTTACATCTTCACAAATTGCCCTCTCAGGGGCACACTGCTTGGCCTCCCAGGCCCTTTGCAATCGAGGTGGAAGCCGTCTTACCCTCAGAATTCGTGCATTTTCCTTGCACCTAAAATCAGCACCTTGTGGATGCTGCCACCAAGGTTTGCTGCTAGCTGGAGTAGCCAAGCTTTTCTCTCTCTTGGCTGTAGGGGTCAGTTGCCTGGATTGCAAGGCTCTGTTTGCCTGATTGTGAGAAAAAGCTTCTCTATATTGCCGCCATTCTGGAACCTCACATGGCCTCTGTCGCCATTCTGGAGCATGGCACTCTGTAGCTTTTTTCTCTGCACAAATTCTTTCACTTTTGCAGTGAGGCTGCACAGGGTGGAGACCTGCTTCCTGGGATGCCCTGGGGCCATCTTTCTTATCTCTCTGTTTCCCATCAACAATCAAAATCTCAACTCTGTCTTTACAATCCACAGCCTTCCTGGAATTTTCCTTCTGGCCAAACTCACAGCATTTTAAATTATCCTGCTTGGGCTCTTTGCTCTTGATTTGAAACATATAGCTGGCTGAAAGCCCCCAACAATAGCCATGCCACAGCCTCAATGTTCGATTGCTTTTTAATTTCCTTTTCAAGATTAATCAGTCCATTGCCCTTTGTTTCAGTCTCAGGCAAAGTCTCTGGGCAGGAGCAAAATGCAGACAAACTTTCCACTAAGCCATAACGCACATCATGTGGAGTCCAACAACCAATGCAGTCTTTCTTCCCAGTAGAAACCTCCCAAGCCTGGTCTTTACCATCAGGCTTTCTATCAGCCTTCTGGTTTCCCGAGCTCTGACCAGAAACTCCTCTACAGAATAGCCTAAGCTGCTCCAGCTCTATGCATCCAGGCGACATGTCCAAATCTTTCCAAATTCTGCCTAGAAGCCATTTCCAAAGCCTCTCGAAAAACACAGCAAACGACCCCACTCCTCGGTACCAAATTCTGTCTTAGTTACTTTTTACTTCGTCACTGAGACAAAATACCTGAAGCCCAAACTGGGGAAAGGAATTTCTTACAGTTTTTGGAGGTTTCAGTCCACACTCAGTTGGCTCCAAGACAGGCGGGCATGGCTGGGCCGCAGTTCATGGCAGCTGCAAAACAGCAAGCTGGAACCAGCAAAGAGCAAGACACACCTCTTCCTGCCATTACGTCACATCCTGGCTCCACCCCTATGTGGGTGGAGCACTGACACCATCAATCCAAGCACTAGACAATGAACCAATCACAAATACACAATGCAAACTCATGAGGCCTGGGGGACACAGACATAAACCATGACAATGGTTTTTTCTTACAACAACCTAACCAGAGATGCTTAAAATGAAAATCATAGTACTATGGAGAAAAAGACTTAAGGGATGTTAGAAAATGGAGCAACATCTCCTATTTTTGAATAGACACAGTTAGTATTGTAAAATGGCCATATTACCAAAAGTGATCTATAGATTTCATGCAATTCCTACCAAAATATCAACAACATTCTTCACAAAATTAGAAACAAAAATTCTAAAATTTTTATGGTATCAGAAGGCACCACTATGGCCAAAGCAATACTGAATAAGAAGAGCAAACCGGGAAGCATTATAGTCTCAGCTTTTAAGTTAAACCAAGAAGCTACACTAACAAAGACAGCACATTACTGACACAAATAAAAACCAGACACACAATCCACTGAAACAGAACAAAAGACACACAAAAAAATTCCATATACTTTTAGCTATCTTTGGCAAAGGGGCTAAAAAACAAATGCTGGAGAAAAGATAGCCTCTTTTACAAACAGTGCTGGAAAAACTGGCTATCCATGTGCAGTAGAATTAACTAGATCTATACTCCTCACCCCATACTAAAATCAAACAAAAATGGATCAAAGACCTAGATATAAAAACAAGAACACTGAAACTCCTGAAAGATAAAAATGCTTGAAGACACAGGCATAGGCAAGAATTTTCTGAACAGAACTTCAATATTACAAGCAATAGTACCAAAAATCAACATGAGATTGCATTAAACTAAAAAGCTACAGAGAGAAACTCTACAACAGGAAAGAAAATGTTTGCCAGCTAATCTGATAAATGTCTGACATCTAACATATGAAGTACTAAAAAAAATTAGGCCCCTCCCAAAAGTAACTGACCCATTGAAAAATGAGCAAATGAAATGAACAGACACTTGTCAAAACAAGACACAGGAACAGGAACTGAATACATGAAAAAATATTCAATATCTTTAGCTATTAGGCAGATGCAAATAAAAACAATAAGCTTACATCTTTCTACTAAGAATGGCTATCACCAAGAACACAAAATAACAACAAATGCTAGCGAGGATGCAGGGAGCAAAGAACTCTTCTACGCTGTTGGTGACAATGTAAACTAGAACAACAGTTATTGAAATTAGTATAGAGAGTCTAAAAAATCTCTAAAAATAGAAATTCCATTTGATCCAGCTATCTCTTTCCTGGATAGTTTCCCAAAAGAAGAAAGATACAATGTTATAGCGATACATGTATACAGATGTTTATAGGGGCACAATTCACAATTATCAAACTACTAAAGAAGACTAGATGCCCAACAATAGACAAATACATGAAGAAAATGTGAGATAATTATACAATAGAATGTCATTTGGCCTTACCTTAAAGAAGGATAAATTCAAATTATTTGTAGAAAAAAAGGGATGGAATTTGAGACTACAGTGTTAAGTGAAATAAGTCAGACACAAAGGGTTAATTATTCACATGATTTCTCTTATATGAAAAATTTAAAACATAAATAGATTAAAGATAAAAATGGAGAAGCAGGAATCAGAAGATAGACTTCTTGGAGATGAGAAAAGAAGCAAGTGAAGAGTACATATAAGAGGAAAGAATAATGAAAACGATCAAAATGTGGTCGCATTTTGTGATGTATATATTTCTCAAAACAAATGCAGTTACTACATATCACAAACATGATAATTAATTAAATAAATAATAAAATGTATAGTAAATACATAAACTAGTAACATATACATAATCATTTGTTATTAGGACTATGCACTGTGTAATTGTATGCACTGTATCTTTATGTGATTGGCAGCATAATAGTTTTGTTTACATCAATATCACCACAAACATGTAAGTAGTGTGCTGTGCTACAGTGTTGTAATGGCTACAACATGAATAGAAGAGAGAATGTTTTCAGTTCCATTATAATCTTATGGGGCCACATGTACAAGTGATGTGACAATGACTGAAATGTCATTATGTAGCACAGGACTATATATCTCACTCACACATACATACATATTCTTTTTTTACAGACAATAAAATAGACATCCTTTATTGCCTTTAACAAATATTTGTATGCAATAAATGATACTAGAACAAGTGGCTAGAGTCAGAAAAAAAGGATTAAGTATTCATAGATCAGCAAAAAAGCAACATATAATACAAAACTAGAAGAAAATATAGGCATACATTTAATTTAACATTTACACAATGGTCATGTATGACCTAAAAACAATGAAGAGGAAGAAAGTAAATAGATTTAAACAAATCCGCCCCCAAAATAAAACCTTGGCTATGTAATATTTTTAATAATACTTAAAAATGTAGGAAATATTTGCAAGCAACACAGGATTAGCTAACAAATGTTTAGAAAGTCATAAAATCAACTAGAAATATAGGGAGGCTTTGCCAGATAAATTTGCATAGAATAAGAACATTCACATTTGAATAAAATATTATTTAATTTATGGAAATGTTTTCATTAGAAACCAAAGAAATAACAAATATGATATTGTTTAAACTATCAAATGAGCAAGAATTATAAAAGCTAAAGCTTTTGGAGGCAATGTATTTAAATGACCAAGAACACTGGTCTGCCAACTCTAGGACCTGGATTTAAGTCTCATCTCTACGTACATAGATAGGTTACATAATTTCTGGCAAGTTATTAGACTCTCTATGTCTGTCTGTGCATATCTAAGCTTGGGTTAGGAATACCATAGGCATTTCAGTTTCTGTGCACAATGAAGAAACAATGTAGGTGATGCATTAACAGTGTCTGGTACATATTAACAGCTCAGTGCATGTTAGAAATTATTAGTATGCTAGCGAACATAGAAGGACAATCAGAATATACCACTGACAGCAATTTAAACTCATAAACTTTCTGGAAAGCAATTTGGTAAGCAGAAATTTTTCATAATGTATCTTAAGAAGGTAATCAGACATAAGCAATGATTATACACAAAGATGTTCACCACAGCATTACTTATGATTGCACAAAGCTATAATAGACCAAATATACAGCATTGGTTAGGTAAATGATGGCCTATCAAGAAATAAAGTGCAAACATTAAAATTCTTATCAAGTAGATCTTTTAATAGCATACATATTTATAATATTATGAGAGAAAAGAAGAGTATATTAGTATTCATGCTGTGTTATAATCTATGTCAAGGAAATGACATACTGAAAAGCTCTAGAAGAAAAAACGCTGGACTATTCATTATGATTCCCTAGATCAAGGCTCAAGGATAGTCTGACATTTAGTAGGTCATGAAATCAGTTCAATCTATCTTGGCTGCAATTTATGATAATGAAATACGATAAGACAGGATAAGATAGAATAGGATAAGATGAGGTAAGATAGAATAGGAAAGGAGCATGGAATGAAATGGAGTAGAATAGAATGAAAATATAAGGATGTATAACCTCTAAAGGTAGGTATTGTTTCCTGAAACTTTTGTTGAAATATTACATCTATGGCTACTTACTGGGTGGTAATTTAAATATATCTCTTAATATGGGTTATGACTAAAAGTTTGAAAGCCACTGTCGTAAGCTTACGTGGAATCAAGGCTGACATTGTAAGGCATATGTGTGGGTGTTTACTCTCCTAAAAGTTCCACATTTTCTATCATCATGAAGGTTTATTTTGATATTTAGTTTGTATATTGTTATAGAAAATTTAATATTCTCTTTGCTACCCACATCAACCTTGAGTGAAGTAACATTGTGTTAGAAATTTCAATTCATTATTATCTAGGACATACTTTTGAAGTTTGAGGGGTTTTTTTTGTTTGTTTTTTTGTTTTATCAGTACTGGGGATTGAACTCGGGACCATGCGCTTGCAAAGCAGGCGCTTATGTCGCTAAGCTAAATCCCCAGCTGAAGTTTGAGTTTTATGTTAATTCCTCAATCTTGGTCCTTGGTACAGAAGGTGAGCTGCTTTCAGAAAGTAGTACAGACAGAACAGTAGGACACAGTATCATAGTGTCAGCATAACTACTGTTAATATAATGCCCTCCTTTCCCTAGGCTCTCAACAAAGAAAACATCAGCTAGAAATTATGTTTATGACAGCTTCACGTATCACCAGTTTTGTCCTTTTGCCTCATGGGACAGGGATGACCACCAAATATTAAATAAAACACCTGTAATTTTTTCTGTTCACAATGTACTACTTGATTGTTTTACATGGTTGGGAAGTAAGTGCTGCAGAATCTGATGCTACTGTGAAAAACTAGGTCATCTACCTAAAAGCTAAAGTCACAAAGTAGTGATTTTCTTCTTATAACAGCTTTACTGAGATATAATTCATATAAGGTAAAATGTACCCATTGTGAGTATATATTTAATAGTATATAGTGTGTACTAATAGTATATGGTGTGTAATAGTATATGATTGTTGTACAATCATTACCCCAGTCAATTTTGAAACATTTCACTCTAAGAAGAAGCCTCACATCTAATAGCTAGTATCCCAACCCTTCCATTCTTCCTGGCCTCTAACAATCACAAATCTACTTTCTCTCTGTATGAATTTGCCTATTTTGGACACATCATATAAACAAAATTAAACAATAGTCCCTCATTCTTATCCAGTAATTAATGATAAATTTGGTTATCTCATGGAGTTATATAGATTTTTTGGTTAAAAAAACTTACCCTTTCTGGCATTCTCAGCCTCCAATCAATCAGCAATGGGTGAAAGTTGTTGTATGTCAACTCTCTGTTATCCGTCCATTTGCCGATCTTTTCATAGGCAGTCCACCGCAGACCAATCCACAGATCAGTTTCCATACTCGGAAGCAAGGATGTAATAAAATCTGTTACAAGGCATTTGACTTATTAAATGAAACAAGTACTAAAAATGTCAATGAATATCTTTTTATCTTTCCATTCTGAAACTGAGCCTAGAGTTTTGCATATGCAAAGCAAATGCTCTGAGTCATGTCCCTACCCTGCTTTTGCTTATCTATCAAGAGTTTTTTGCTTGATCTGTTAAAAACATAGTTTAATAAGATTACTCTTATGTAAATTCTTTGCAGCCTCCCAAAACTAACTTCGTTTCCAGATCAGGATAAGATATGTTTCTCAAACAATTCAGTACCTTGTTCACTCTGGCTTAACACTGAGGGAAGAGTCCCACCATAGGATTGACAGACGTCGCTTGCTTGAGAAAATGTAACAGATTTAGATGTGATCTTCAGAAAGCACTGCAAACAAAGACACACATGAAGCATAAGGTTCCAGACACAAGAAACCTCACATAGGAAGTAAATGCCTCATCTTTTTGAGGGCTGCTAATATTTGCTAAGATACGGAAATTTACAAAGTAGTACCAAAAGAATTCAGGTTTACATTCTCAGTATAAACAACTGAAGTATGGTCTTCACACCATTACGTATATTTTTACAATAGCTACCATTTACTGAGTACTTCCTATGTGCCGAGTAATTTTTATAGACTTACCTAATTTAATTCTTGCAACAAATGGGAAAACTGAGGTCACTGGAAGTTAAGTAACTTGAACGATAAGCAAAACAGCTACATACTGCTAAGTTCAGCATTTAGATTCTTCCATCTGATATCAAAGATGTGCTTTTAATCATCACCTCCCCCCATATTACAAACAGCTAAGCTAGGCCAAAATACTGTAAGCAGTCAGATAGATCCTCGAGAGAGCCAGGACAAAGGTGAAACACTTTTCAACTATGGCCAGAGACACACCTGTTAGAGACAGGCTTCAAGATACAGACAAATGACCAGGCTTGTATATTTTCTCAAAAGACAAACACCAGGCCAAACAGGGCCTAGAGAGACATTAGTTACTCTCATGAGTGACGAAGACCTCTGAACTCATCATTTACTAGAAAAAGGGTTTGCTCTTTTCACGCACCCTTGTTACGTGACTTGTTTTCCCACTGGATCATTCTTACCTAAGCTTGTATCCTTACCGGTTAATCATAGCCATAACCCATGTTTACTCATGCGGGTACTGCTCTATCAAGTTTCCCTGTAGGGTCCTCAGGCCCCCTCTGACAGGAGCTTTCTCTTCTCTCAATAAATACCTTCCTGCTCTTAACCTCTGTTATTCCTAGAATTGATTTTTCAATTTTTAGAGAACACAAACTTGGAATATTAGATGTCTAACGGGTTGGGAGTTATATTTCCCTCATATCATATTTGGAGGTTCTGATATCACCCCTGTAACACCTATAGCAAGAAACACATTTTAAAAGAAAGTGTGATTCTTTCTCTTGGCAGGATATTTTAACTCAAATTTGAATGAACTATGCAAATTAACATGATCTTAGTATGCTGGGAATTAGAGATTGCCCTAATTTTTTAAAATAAAAATGCATCTCTAATTAACTGCAAATGTTTTCAGCTTTCAAATACATTCTTGCCTTTTTCTTTTTATATTATGATCACATAAATGTAGAGTAGTCTGCCTCAAATTGTGTTCCTTGAAACATCCTACAAAAACTTTTCCAGTTTTCTTACAGATTAGAGTGGCTAAGTAGACGCAGGCAAAGTTGTTGTGTGGCTTCTAGAATATTTCCAAGAGAGAACAATGTGAAAGCCTTATATTAAGGATGTAAACCACAAAAACGAAACCACTTAATTTTGAAAATCTCAATTTCCACACCAACTTAACCTGCTTACCTTTAAATTAATTTTATGTGAAAGAATAAATGTTTTAACATATTATGGCAATTTCTTTTTAGTAGTCAAACACATTTCCTTACACATAAATATATAGATTATACATCTCAAAGCAGCAGATACAGAATGTAGTATTTCTCAAATCTATGTAATCATAAAATTCTCCTTTGAAGGCAAAATCAATGATTAATATTTTGTAGTGTATGTGTAGTTTCTGAAGAGTAGTTTGGGAAATGCTGATGTAATTTGATTGGTAGATGCTGCTTGGATACTCGCCTAGACAAGGAAGAGAAAGCAGCAGCCAGAAATTACAGTTTGCTTCATGCCATAGAGATAGTTTGACTATTCATTGTATCGCTACCCATTGACTGATGGTCTTCAGCAATTTAAGTGTTGGGAGCCACAGAATGGAAACACTGTACTTTGAAAGACCTGCAGCCATGACTAACTTGAGTTAATGCTTGTTATCACCATGGTTTCTGAAAGTGGACACTGTTATAGGCAGAGGCTAGTTTAATGAAGTTATCTGCTGAGCTGTCTTGCCATAGGCAGACCAACCCATGAAAGTGCAATGTAGCAATTCTTTTTTTTTAGTAAAATTTTTTTACCTTATTCTGAAAAGGAATCCAAGGCTCAGAACATTGTACTTTAGCTGCAGTACTTGAACTATATTTTTCTAATGAAGATACATTGTATTTTTCACAGATGAAGGGCAACTTGGTTCTACAGTCTGTTGGTTTACTTAAGTCTGAGAATGAAAAACAGGATTGCAGTGGTGAAAATTTTCATTTGGTACATTTTAAAAGCAAGCTATTAACAGAGAATATTCTTAATTTTTTGTTGTTTTTTTCTGGAGATAGACATGCAAAACACATGTTTTGACACTGAGCTATAGTCCCAGAGAAAGGCTCTTTGAATATATTTCTCAAAAGGTTGAAGTATCTTCCCTTTAGTCATATCTATCTTCTATTATTAATCAGATCAATAGGTTATAGCACATAAATATTGCCTTACAAAAAAAAGCACACATTTGGTATAATTACCACTCCGCCAAAGAGTGATGGCAAACTGGTATGGTGGTTCATACCTGTAATTCCAGCACTCTAGGAGGCTAAAGCAGGAGAATCACAAATTGCCCAGCCTGGGCAATCTATCAATTTAGCAAGAACCATCTTAAAATAAAATAAAAAATAAATTAAAAAGCTGGGGATGAGCTAAGGGAGAATGCCCTGAGTTCCATCCCCAGCACAACACAACAAAACAAAAGATAGAAACGTAGAACAATAACCCCAAAAGGGGGTGGCAAGAATAGGTAAAGAATTGAAAGAGAAATCTAGTGAGAGGTAAAGGAACATAATATTTATTTTAGAGCTACTGTTCAATCATCTCTGTAAACTCTTTATCTGCTTACTAATTATGAAAGCAGTAAGTTTATTGCTAAGTAACTGCTTTAGGATAAAGGAAGGTAAAATATTCACACTGAAAGTGCTTTTATTTGATTTGGAATTTGAGTTATTGTCATTAACAATAAATCAGAATAAAGTGAAGGTACCAAACATAATCAAGAGGAAAACAAGATTAAACTGGTAATTGAATCTGAGATTCATGTATTAAACAATCAATATTAAAAAGTTCTTACCAGTAAGCCAAGTTTTGGCAGACATGTACAAGCATTCCTCCCCAGATATCATTGGAAAGTGGTGCCATGGATGTCGCGAGCTGCAAGTAAAGAGATATGACAGCTCATAATGTAATTAGATATTTCATTCTATTTTTTACTGTTATTTTAATTCTAAATTTAATGTTAATGCCACTATTGTATATGACTTTTCCCTAACATGCAAATAAACTTGGTATCTCTAAGAAGTTTATGGATTAATGTTCTAAACTGTTTATAACAAGCAATCCATTTAGTTAAGAAGACTTGGAGGCTCCCTGTTGTGAGAAATTTACAAAAGCAGAGACTGTGACGTTACGTACTATATATAACGATGGTGTATACGCTGATCATTAGTTCTCACCCACCACTTTTGTTCCACATCAGATATCTGAAAGACAAACCAAACACCCATCTGTACATGTGTTGAATTTCCTAGCAAAGTTTTGCTTTAAATAGTCTGTATTATTATAACCACGAATCACTAAAATTTTCAGACATCCCATCATTTAGTTTCAAAATTACATTGACAGGACCTTTATATAAACCAGGACCTTTCACCAAAATAGGAATTTGATGGGCCTTATTTTGTATATTTTGGGTAGAGAAAAGATAGCTGCTATTAGTATAGGCATATATTAATCAGACAGATACATGAATTGAGTATAGAGTGTCTTTTGCAATTAATTGCAATTTAAATATTTTTAAATATCAAACTATTTTTTCCCCAAAAGCTGATCTATAAACTTTCTTACTAGTAGGAACAAAAATTTAACTATGAAGTTAACTTTTAGTAAAAATGCATGGTAGGGAATTAAGATTATATTATCTATCTCATAATTGACATTTATTATTACTCTTGTATATTGTATTAAGCAATTCTATTTTACTTCTCTAATATGAAACAATAAATTTAGATACTGTAAGACAAATATGCTTTGTAGATTTTGTACAACTTTGAAAATATATTAATGGGATAAATATAGAAATGAAAAGTTATTTTAAAATGCATTCTTTTAAATTACATTTGCTATTTTGTTTTTGATGGCTTTTAGTTCTGTAAAAGATGTCAGGGTAGCAAGAAAGCTGTGATTGCTAGCACAGTACAGGACAGCTTCTTCATAATTTAAGTGAGGATCAGCAACAAACCAATATTCACTTCCTTCAATTATAACTGGAGGCCCATGAATACCAGCACGCTCTAAAGAAAAGGAAGAAGATCAGAGTTATGATTGTGGCAGCCAAACTGTACTCCTGAAGCATGGGTTAATGTCCAAAGCCATTTACAGAGTGATTACTAACATTTGGGTAAGTGTCCTGTCCCCTCTTATCCAAAAAGTCCCGTGTGTTGAAGATGCTGCTGGGAAATGGCAAAACCTTTAAGAGGTGCTACCTATGTGAAGTCTTCTGGTGGAGTTGTGCCCATAAAAGAGGTGTTGGGACTCTGGTTCTTCCTTTTTGTTTCTTAGCTGTCATGAGGTAAGCAGTTTGTACTGCCAGTGTGTTAGGACAGACAACAGACTATGACCTGAAACCTCCAAAACTGTGAACCTAAGTAACTTTTTTTTTTTTTTTAAACAAAGTCTTACTACGTTGCTCAGGCTGGCTTCAAACTCATGATCCTTCTGCCTCAGCATTTGGAGTGCTGGGACTATAAGCACTATACCCAGTTACTTTTCTTCTTTTCAAGTTGATTATCTCAGGTATTTTGTTACAGTAATGGAAAGCTGACTCACATAATAACCCATCTAGATTACTACTGGTAGTCCTCTCTGGCTGGTGCAGTGCTGATTACAAGGAACGGAGGATTCCTGACTCATTAACTCTGGCAGTGTCCTGTTCTTGTACAGAAGGAAAACAGCTTTATCGCCTCATCCCATACCATCCAGACACCCTCTTTGTCTGGAGATGTTTTACTTCATCTGAAGATAAGGCAAAGAAGAAACTGGCACTTAAATAATTAACTACATACATTATACAAAAGGATAAAAGCATGTTTGGCTAGATTTCAGTTTTCATAACTCACCTGGATTGTACCAATCTGGTGTTTTTGGAGTACTGCCTAAGGAAGGAAGAAAGTAAGTTGTGTAAGTTTAGTTTCCAATTACAGATAATGGTATAATACAAGCATTGCCTTTAATGTAAGGGACTCTAGTACTGTGGGCCATTTCTGACCAAACCATTTCAAGGGACTCTAGTACTGTGGACCATTTCTGACCAAACCATTTCAAGTTATGCCACCTGTGCAGCATTGTACAGGTCTTATGGTAATGCTCTCACTTTTTATTCTGACCAAAAGTCAAAATGATTTCAAATCACAGACATAATTTGCAAAAAAAAGAGACATAATTTGCTTAATTCAAAAATTACAAGGGACAATGTCTGTTATTAATTTTGCTTTGGCACTGAGGTCAAAGGCATTAGAATACTGTCCTCAGGATTACATGTATACTCAGAATCTTCAGGTTTTTTTGCACTCACCCAGTTTTCTTTGTATTGAGTAATTTCCACTAATAGTGCAACAAGCCAGTTAAAACGATGCATAGTTTCTTCTCTATGATCTTGTCAAAGACTTATGATTTTAAATAAAGATGCAGGATAGCAGGTACTCATGAAACATCTTGGAGGGGGTGATAATGCTTTCTGTGGCATGCAGATAAATGGCAGACTAATGGGAGACTCATACTAATGCTTAAAACCAGAGACATCATCCAAATTAATGATGCACAAATTTTCCAAACTGGTTTTTCTATGCTCCTTTTTCAGGTTTAATCAAACAATGAAGAGTCACAAGGCACAGTTTTCCCTCTGGGAAAATCCCATCAACACACACACACACACATACACACACACACACACACACACACACACACACACACGCATGAATATGTACATGTATGAACTAATTGGTTTCCTGAATTTGAATTTCCATGAAGTATGAGCAGTTTTGGAGTTAACTGAAAATTGCTTCTAAATTTTACAAGGACCTACTAATTTTAATTTCTTTATTCCGACTTCATTCTTCCTAAGATTATTTTCATTTTGTGTTTTATTTGCTCAAAATAAATGAAAATTATTTTTATTACATCTCTTTTTTATCAGTCTTTCATTCCAAAGTCTAGTTTCTTTAAATAACTATTAATTTTATCTTCTGTACAAACTTTTTCATGATTAAAGAGTAAGGTATTGCTAAATTTCAATAAGCTAGAATTCTAAGTGTAGAAATCAGACAGGAGGGAGTTTAATATGTTAGTGGTATTTCATAGGCTTGTAGAAATTACTCTTGTAAGGTAAAAATGCTCTCTTAGGTACATCTAGCTCAGCATTCACAATGTTAATGTGAAAAGGTTGTGTAGAAGAATAGTTGCCACTTACCTTTCGGAATCTGGCACACCCATTCAAGTTTCGCATCACAAGCAAAAGGCCTCAAATAAATATATTCTCTCTCATCATAAAAATACCAACTTCTTCGCCAAGGGCTGTGACTAACCTAAAGAAGGAAATAAAGGACTGATGAATATTTCAAAGTTGCTTTAATCCCATATGCAACACTAAACTGCAAGTCCTGTGGTCTTGGTCTCTATTTTAGCTCGATCACCTAAGATATTTGCAGAATATGTAAACACAAAAATGAATGGAAGATTTAAAGAGCCAGAGCCAGAGCTTTCCAAGAGCACTGATATGTGTATATCTAAAATGTTAATCACTGTCTCTTTTTCTCCTGATTTTATTGACATGAAATGTGGAATCTTGTGCTTTTAAAATTTGGGTAGGATCAAACAAGAAAAGAATATTTACTGAGTGGTATCTAAGATTAGGTTGTGATAAGAGCAGATTAAAAAGTGACAGAAATGTGCAGGCTCAGGCACCTACGCTCCTCCTTCTGCCCTTTCTAGGATGTTCCCCATTTCCATAAGGTTCACAAGACTGGGATCTCCAGTTATTAGGTAGAAAGAAAAAGTAAGGGGTAAATGCTTGGCTTGGGAGAGCTTTCCATCACTCTTCAAATTCTTATGGCTAACATTCTAGAGGGTGTTTCAGCGAGATTAGTGCCCTCGCTGGAACTGTTCCTGATGCAGGCTGTATTTCTGTCCCTTTTACTTATTTGCTGGTAGCTTTTGAAATATCTCCATTCATGGTGACTCTACTTACACAGAGCACAGTTTATCACACCAGTATTCTTGACATTCCTGAAACCTTCCTTCATAAGCTTCTCTGGAGTTTTCATCTTCCTGAGTTACACTGTGTATTCTACAAAGGTGGCATTAAAATGTAACACTTTACATGAAGAGTTTTGAAAACAGTGCTTTCCAATGGCTTTCTTAATTTTTAATGGCTCTGATCTTCCAATAACATTTCATATGCTTTTTCTTGGCTACAAAGTAAAACTATGGTCTAGATGACTGTGTTTTCATCATCTTTTACCACTGTATTGACAATCCTTGTAAATATTGACCTTTTGCATCTTTTTAACATTATTTTTTCCCTTGTTTCTGCTGTAGGACACATCTTATGCCTAGGTTGTACTTGAACTATGTAAGTTAAATTATACCATATTTTCCATAAACCAGGACCCCATTCTACCTGTTTCTAAAATGCCTACTCAAACAGCACAGTGGCTTAAGAGTACCAATCTGTCTACTTGTTCAACCCAAGGAGAAGGCAACCAAGATTGAATAGTACTTTGATCCAGCTCATCAGAATTACATAAAGATTATCATCTCTGGGTCCCAGGATGTCATGATTCTTTGCCTGTAAATCGAAGTAACACTAAACTTTCACACATTTTTTGAAACATCAGTCAGATATTTTCAGTGGAAGACTAAGGTAGTCATAGTAGACTGGAGTCAAAATAAGACTCAAAAGTTCTAAAAGAAATAGAATCTATTTAACAGTTTCTTCAGAACCAAGAAGAATATGAGGAAGTGGTCTACAATTGTTCACTCCTGTCATCACCATCACCATCATCACCATCACCATCTCAGAATAAACTCGTCCTTGTATAGAACTTGTTTTGCCAGGCACCACCCGTACACAACAGCATCACCACTAATGTTTAATTGTCTTTATCTCCTACGGACTCAAAGTTCTGTGAAGACAGTGTCTATGTTTTGTGTCTTGTCCCTATTGTATCCCCCAGGGCCTTACAGATGCCCTGGACATACTGCATATGAAATGAATAAGCCAATAAATTCTGCAGAGGAGATGCCTACTGGGTCTAAGCTTTCAGTTCTCCTGTTGCCTCTTGAAATCTGTCCCAAGAATCCTCTTATTCTTCTTGGTTCATGTCACTCTCCATCAGAAACTTTTAAGAATACCCTGTTGCCTATCAAAAAAAAAAGTACAAACACTTTAACCTGAGATAATCTAAATTCTCAAGGTTCTTAGGTTGTTTTCAAAACAGCACAGAACATGCGCACTGTGTACTGCGTCCTCCTGACTGTGCTACTTCCCCCCCCCATCCCCATTTCACGCCGCCTTTTCACCTGTATGGACTAGTCCCAGGTCAAGTTGCACTTCTTTCTGAGAAGAGGTTACAGAGATCATTTCCTCTTAGGAGTCTCATTAGTCTTCCTCAACTCACTCACTTGACTGTACAGTAATGATAAAACTATCTTCAAGCTGAATATCACCTTTAATTTTCTCAAGTTACATATAAGACCCATGAGGATATACTTATTTCCCATCTGTTGCCTGATTAAACATTACTCCATTATTCTCTCTCTCTCCTTTCCTGGTATCTGCCCTCCCTCCCTTCCTGCCCCCTCCTTCTCTTACTCTTTCCCTCGCTTCCTCTTTGATGCTAGAGATGAAATCCAGGGCCTCACGCATATGTGCACACAGTGGGCACAAAGCTGTAACTTCAGCCCTCAGGTTTTTTTAAAGTGCTGATTTTCTAGCATTGTACTGACCTTGACAGCAGCACAGTCTCTGATGTCATAATCCTCCTGAAACTCACTTTCCATGATAATAGTAGACACCTGAAAAGACAAGAAAGACTTGAGAATTTAACTGATGTATAAATATTTGTAATTTAGATGTGATTTACGCAGCTTTAATAATTCAAGCATGTTCATATGCCACAAAAAGAAAATTTTTTTCATCTTTTTTTATAACAGGATGCTGAATCATAAGACTTAGAAAATGTCAAAATTTCATAAGTCTTCAAACAAAGGAAGCCACAGTTTTAGAAATGGAGGTTAATGTAAGTTCACCACTGGATTCAGAAATTCAAGAGCTTACGAAAGACTTCTTTTTGCATGTATTGAAATGCACACATGCAAAATATTTGATCAGCTAATCTAGAATATGCAAAATATTTGATCAACTAATCTAAAATATGCTCTCATTTAAAAATAAAAGCCAGGAATCTTACATTTAGAAAGAATACTAAATGTCATAATGATAACATAAGCAAATATTGAATACTTGAGTATTTTCCTCCTATCAGTCTTACATAAGACCTCTTCAGGATAATGTAAACATTTGAAATAATGTGTATGATTATTTTAAGTTCCCTTAAACAAATTATTTCTTTCAATAAAGGGAAAGCATTTCTTCTGCAAATATTTTATACATAACATATTTTTAGATAATTAAAAGCTTCTCATTAAAAAAAAAATATAAAGGAGTGTAAAGAAAAGCCTTCAGAAAAATAATTCTTGTACTACCCAAAGATGACACATATACCGATTGCTCATTATATAAACTAATAATAAATTACAAATATATTAAGTATTAAATTTATACTACAATGTAAATATAAATTAAAACAAATTATATGAGTTATTTATATAATATTTATCTTTTGGGGGTTATATATAAAGAAAAGCTATGATTTTTTTGTAAAAGTAAGATTAGTATCTTGATTTTTCCCTACATCATATATATGAACCTTTTCCATTTCAATAAGATGTACCTACATCATTGTAATGGTTGAAAGTATGTGGATGTATTTTCTATTTTTAATTACTTTTTAATAATTGACAGGTAAAGTTGTACATCTTTATCATATACAGCATAATGTTTTGAGGTATACACATGGTAGAATGACTAACTCCTAAACCTAGCTAACTGACATGTACTCAGTTATCATTTTGGTGAGGACACTAAATATCACTAAATATATAGTATATTAACAACTGTCACCATGTTCTACAGTATTAGACATGTTGAACTTACTTCTTTTATCTAACTAATATTTTATAACTTTTGACAAACATCTCCCCAATGCCTGTCTGCCCCAATCTCTGGTAACCATCATGTTAATTTCCCAGTTCTGTGAGATCCATTTTTTAGATTACACATGAGGCAGCATGTGGTATTTATTTTTCTGTGTTTGGTTTATTTCAATTAATACTTTCACATCTGGTTCATCCACGTTGCCACAATGACAGAACTTACTTCTTTTTTGTAACCGAAGAGTATTTCATTGTGTATGGGTAACATAATTTCTTATCTATTTATCCACCATAGTTTGATTCCATATCTTAGCTATCATGAATAATACTGCAATAAATGTGGGAATGCAGGTATCTCTTCAACATATTGATTTCATTTTCTTTGGATATATACCCAGTAGTGGTATTTCTGAGTCATATAGTTCTATGCTTAATATTTTGTAGAGTCTTCATACTGTTATTCATAATGTTAGTTTCACAATTGTTTCTCTACATCCTGGTCAAAACCTACATTACTTTGTCTTTTTGATAACAGCTATTCTACCAGTGTGAGGTGTGAGGTGATATCTTGTCATAGTATTAATTTGCATTTCCCTGGTTATTGATGCTGAACATTTTTCACACACCTGTTGGCTATCTGAATGTCTTCTTTTGAGAAGTTATTTATTCAAGTCTTTGTCTTCTTGCTCTTGAACTGAGTTTCTTACACATGTTGGGTATATTCAATGAATACTTTACAAGTATTTTATCCCATTCTCTAGGTTGTTTCTTTGTTGACTTGTATTTAATGTGCACAAGACTTTTAGTTTGATGTAATTTTATTTTTATACTTTTATCATTGTTGCCTATGTTTCTGGGATTGTATCCAATAAATCACTGCTCAGACCAACTTTATGCAGCTTTCCTCCTATTTTTTTCCTAGTAGTTGCATCATTCTGGGTCTTACATTTAAGTTTTTAATCCATTTTGAGTTGATTTTTATATATGGTGAGACATGAGGATGTAATTTCATTCTTTTACATGAAAGTGTCCAGTTTTCTCAGCGTCACTTATTGAAGGGATTGTCCTTTACATACTGCATGCTCTTGGCATTTTTGTCAAAAATTATTTGACTAAAAATGTGTGAGTTTAGTTCTGGGCTTTCTATTCTCTTCTATTGGTGTCTGTTTTTATGGTAATACTATGATGTTTTGGCTACTACAGCGTGGCAGCATAAATATTGAAATCCAGTATTGTGATCCTCCAGTTTTTGTCCCTTTTGTTCAGGACTTAGTTTGGTTATTCAGGGCTTTTTGTGGTTCCATTTGAATTTTAGGTGTGGCTGTATTACTTAGTAATCATTTATTTGCTACTGAAATAAACATTCCTTCCATTTTATATCCAACAAGAAAATTTTAACTTACTGGTGTATTATCACTCCACTGCCAGGATCCTTGTAAATATGGGCTCCTTTTATTCAAACCTATCCACAGCCAACGCTGGACACTATGTAAAAAGAAAGAACCAAAACAATTTGAGGATGACACATGGTAAAAATATTTAGCATTCAGACATTTAAAGTGCTTCAGACACATAAGCTATTCAGAAGATCTTGTCACTGATTGAAAAGCACAGCTTCAAAGTCTGTAAAATTAGTGGTTTGAAATGAAACTGAATCTTAACTGGAGAAATTATAGGAAAGGTATCATACTTTTTAAAACTAAATTTTCCATTTGTATGAAAAGCAAAATGTATTCCGCTTTGAACTTTAAGAGAAAGAAAATTGTGATTATTCCAAAACTTTTGCTTCTATTTGAATACCAGACAATGTTTTCAGATGGAGTCTAATAGAATGACATTTTAAAAAGCCATTCATTTAAAACACAATCAGGGTCCGGGGATTTGGCTCAGTGGTGTAAGCACCTGCCTGACAAGCACGAGGTCCTGAGTTTGGTCCCTGGTATCAATAGAAAAAAAGAAAACCACATCAAATTTCTTTTCTTTAAAATGCCAGATAATCAAGATTAAAAAACAGTTTATTTCCTCCTTCCCATTAAGATGAAAGTAAACAATTAATCTAGTATTTTCTAAAAGCCAAAGAAATATATCAGGAAAATATAATTTAAAAAATTACTTAACATATTAAATTTAATACTCATAAGTATACTTTTATCTACAAGGCACTGACCAATGTGCACTAATGATACAAAGAAAATAAGAGCTAACATGTAACTCTCAAAAAGAACATAAAGTAGTCATAGAGGAAATACATTTTATACACAGAGAAAATATATGTTAAGACCATTTATATGAGCGTTCAAAAGAGTTGTATAAACTTTAAGTGCTACAAAAGGTCAGAGAAAGGAGAGGTCATTGTGGACCTCGGGAAGTAAGGAGAAGTTTCATAAGGGTGGAAAGACAAAAAACGGTCTACATAGAGTGTAAATGTTTCTTTCTAGTTAAGGCCTGGGCTTACCACATTCCAGTGTTTGGACTGGGGTCTATAGGAGAAGGGATGGGCATCTCAAGGAAGAAAACATACACAAACATACAGAGATAGGAATGCAAATAAGTGTATGTTCTACTCAGGGAGATATACACCTGCAAATAGACATTATATTACTATAAGTACTTTTCTGTTTTTGACTGTACTTGATAATCTTCTAAAATGTATTATACATTCTAAGCCTTAATAAGTAGCCTGGTTATATTTCATATTCTTTAACCTGCTGTTGGCACAAGGTGTCAGTGGCACATAGATCAGTGTATGTGTGTATATGTACGTATCTGCAGATATAAATATCACCAATATAATATATATTAGAGAAGGAATATATATACATATATAAATATCTTATCCATATAATATATTAGAGAAGGGGTAGGATCCAAATCTAAAAGCAATTCCTACCCTCAATCACAGTAGAATATATGAAATGTATAGCTACAAAACTACTGGGAAACATAATAAATCTTCATATTTATACAAAATTTTCTAGTGATTCAAAGGTAAGAGAAAACTAACTTTTAAATTACTTTTCACTTTCTAATGAAGTAATTGCTTTATCTCTTCTCTTTATTCAACATTCCTTCATAGATTAATGTCAATAAATAGTTTTCCATTTTTTCAATATCTGGTTTTCTAACTTATTGCAATGGCATCTAAGAACTGTTCTCCTTTGCTTTTTATTATTATGTTGTTTTCGTACTGACAAAGACCACTGATTTGTGGACTTCAGATAAATTCTGTGGAAACAATTTAGTCCAGTTTCAGTTTAGCAGCCATAAGAGGACCTTGCTGGTTGTGTGTTCAACTAATTAGAGTTGTCTTAAAGCTTCCAAATGTCTGAGTGTTGCATTTTTAATCTGCAGGTCTAGGTAACTGTCATATACAGCTTAATTAAAGCCAGATGGCTAAAATAAAGAGGTTAAATTTTCCTCATATAACTTCATTTTCCCCCAAATATTTGCATATAATATATTTGGGTCTGGGAGATAAGACTTATTTTTCCCTAAGGTCATTAACTATTTTACCTTCTTTACACAATCCTTTACACAATCAACAATACGATGAGATGATCAAAGGTTATGTGTCCCAGCATCCAGAGGCTCCTGCACAGCCTTTGTGCAGGTCTCTCCTGACTTTCCCAGGACCCTGACCTCTCCCTGGTCTCTTCCCAGCAATGGTTCACATTCTCCCACTTAGAGACTTCTCTGATTCAAGCTCTTTGCTGGTTCCTTTGCTGTGTTTCAAAGGACAGTTACCTAGAAATACATTTTCCCAACTATTCAAAATATCTAATCCCCCTACTATTTGAGATCAAACTTCATTTCAACCCAGAAACTTAATTTTCAATTTCAATTCAAGAGATTTACTAATGTGTTGTAATACCTGTGCTTCTGTAGGTATGTATGTGTATAGTCACAGGTGTGAAACATTTCCTTTTCTTCACTACTGAGGATAGAACTGAAGGCAGTACAGAAGCCAGGCAAGCGTGGTACCACTGGGCCACACTTTTAGCCCTAAGGACAGTATTTCCTGAATTATATAATTTTTTTCTGAATTTAGCCTGCCAGCCAGACAAGAACAAGAACAATTAGTAATCACATTAATCATTACCTTCAAATAGATTTTTAAAACTGGAAAGGAAAATATGCACTTGATCATAACTGGTAAATCAAGTCAAATTGAAACTTTATACATTTCTTTTACTGCAAATACCAGGTATATAGTTTTAAGACAATTAGTTTAAAAGTTAATGTGTATAAAAAATGTTAAAATTTTCATCTTCCATCAAGTTTCTTGGTGTATCTGGTTGTTAAGAAAAACAGTGTCTTAGCTATATCCCCCCTACAAATACTATTTGATGAGGGCTCTTAGTCTGTAAAGCCTTAGATTTATATCTAAATCCATTCATGCCACTTCACAGGAGGTACACAGCAGCAATGGCACTGCAAACAAGGCTTTCTTCTCTAATCCTTTGACTATTTTCTTTCTACAATGGCTTCCCCTGTTGGGCTGCCATTAAGAGTTGCAAAGATCTTAAGAGTCTTAATGACTTGGTACACCATGAATCCTTTTCATTGAAATACAAATAGAGATGTGGGACTTAGATTGTGAGAAGCAGAGCAGTAATCTGATTTAACTCCTAGGCATGCAATACACAATTTGGGTGGGCAATGAACTTCTTGCTGAGAAAGGTCAATTTCTGCAATAGAAGCTACAGCTTTCAAGAAGAAAGCTTTAGAGTCATTTTCTAATATAAATGGTTGGCTTCCTTCCTTCCCTTTAAACTGTGGTTACAATTTTGGTGTTAGAATATGTTCAAAGTGCAGCATTGGCAAATGAGCTCCTTATTTATGGAGCACTTATTAGGCAGACAACACAGTCTGCTTAATATGTTATGTTGGCTGTTGGGATAAGAGTACAAATAAAATACAAGTGCTTGACTGAAGAGCTTACGGAGATTTGTTGCTTTTTTCCCTATGCTTTTTTATTTTCCAAATTTAATGTGCATTAATTTTGTGATTTCCAAAAAAGTGAAACATTGCACAGTTGGTGGATAAGAAATTTTGTGAAAACTATACATGTAAGAATATCTATCACTGTGCACTAAACTAAAATTGAAATGGATTACAAATCTAAATATTAAAACAGTAACACTAAATCTGCCAGAAAAGAGACAGATCTCTTGAAGGCATAAGTGTAGGCAAAGATATCATGAACAAAACCCTGATGGTATAGGAAATAATACAAAGAACAACTGGGATCTCATCCTATTAAAAAGCTTTTGCATAGCAAAAGAAATCACCAACGGAGTGCAAAGAACCCACAGAGTGGGAAAAAATTTTAGCCAATTGTCCCTCAGACAAAGGACTTGTAACTAGAGCTATAAAGAATTGAAAAGAAAAATCAGATCCCCCCCTCCAAGTTTAAAGACGAATTCCAAAAATGGGCATCTGAGATGAATATACACTTCTCAGAGGAAGAAATACAAATGGCAAATAAATATATAAAAAAATGTTCAACATCACTGGTCATTTGAGTGATGCAAATTAAAACAACGCTGAGATTTCATCTTACTCCAGAAAGAATGGTTATCAATAAGAAATTAATCAATAACAAATCCTGGAAGGTCTGTGGAGTAAAGGGAATCCTTTTCTACTGTTGGTGGGAATACAGATTGGTACAATTGATCCCACTACTGTGGAAATCAGTATGGTACTTCCTCAAAAAACTAGAATTAGAAGTTCCATTTCACCCAGCTCTCCCTACTGTGGCTATCTTCCTGCAAGAATTAACCACTATACCACCGTGATATATGTGCAACTATGTAATAGTTAAATCTTGGAAATGACCCAAATGCCCATTAACTGAGGAATGGATAAAAAGATGTGAGTACTACTCAGTCATATTGAAGGATAAACGAGACATTTTTAGATACATAGATGCTCCTTGAGACCATACCCTTAAGTGAAATAAATGGGACACCTGTGTGAAGATCACATTGCTCCCTGGTGTGAGAAACTGAAAAAGGACCAAAATGTACAATAGAGAGACATTTTTCAAAAGGTATGAGGAATAGGGAGGACAAAGGGTGAAAGGGGAAAGGAAGAAAAGAAAAAGGGAAAAAATGATTAAACAAAAATGATAAAATGAAAACAAAGCTTTGTAAACAAGGAGGGAAAGACAGCCTGGGCTACAAAGTGAGCCTGAACTGCATAGCAAGATCCTGTCTCAAACACTCGCACGTGCTCACACATGCGCGCGCGCACAAACACACACACACACACACACACACACACACACACACACACCCCAAACCAGAGGAAGAGTGGAACAGTGGTTGATGGGAGGGAAAGAATTTGGGAAAAAAAAGAGGAATCCAAATACATCATATACAGGTAGAACTTCCTTATGATGAGTATGATCTTTATTTATATCTAAATTGTACCAGGAAACTTAAAATAAAAGAAGAAGAATGGAAGAAAATGGAAAGGAATTA